CGACATGAAGAGGGTCAACGACATTTGGGAATCCATACGTCCAGCAGAGCCAACGGAAGGGTCGGTGTCGACACTCCTTTCTGTGGACTGAGGAATGAACCAAGACAGGCTATCCATGAAGATGTTGGATCCCCCCCCCCCTGAGCCACTCGAAGCGATCAGCCCCAAAGAGGCAAGGACCAAAGAGAACTCCTACAGTTCAGCCAATGAACCACCGGAGAACAGTCCAAATGGAGCCGGATGGTTGAACCCAAAGCGACCTGAACCCTCCAAAGCTAAAGCCGAACTGCTCCAAACACCTGCACCGTGCTGTGAGCCCGACGGAAGGATGTACCCCATCGCCCCTGGCCGGCCAAGTGAGCACTGGTCACAAAACCCCAGCCGAGAGACTAAACCCAACGCCAGACCTCTCCGACTGCGAGGATGTTGTGGTGGACGCCTTTTGGCAGGGATTATCTTTACCTCTTTTGCTTCGGGTTCTGGCTCGGTTGGAGTTGTACCAAGGGAGAGTACTCCTCGTGACCCCTTGGTGGCTGACCCAGCCTTGGTTTCGGGCGCTGCTTGCTCGGTGTGCAAACCCGGGATGTTTCCTGCGGCTCCGCCTCTTCCAGCGGGTCGGACCAGTCTGATACATGGCTGGTTCAGTCAGTCTTCTCCTCTGCTCTTTGCATTTGTTTTTTTTTGACATGGGTTTATCACCATTTGTATGGTGATCAGGTGGCTATATTGGTGTCCCACCTGAGAGCTTCGTCTCAGCGACAGTATGAAATTTCCTGGCGTTCTTTCCGCCATTTTCTCTCTTTTAGTAGGTAGTCTTCTATTTCTGATCAGGTTGTCTTGTTCTTTTTGTCTTGGCTTTTTCAGAACCATCATTTGATGCCTATTACTGCCGACTTGTATTGTGCAGCATTGGCAGAGCTGCTCCAGCTTGCGTTTGGAGTGTATGTCTCTTCTGCCCTATTCTGTAAGCTTTCTTGTGCTTTGTTTCACCTCTGGCTTGCTCATGCGCCGCCCGAGTCATCCTGGTCCTTGGACATGGTGCTCTCCTCGGTTTGTGGTTCCAAGTTTTTTTCTAAGGCTCTGTTTCTGTTGGCATTGGCCTTTGGGGGTCGAGTTGGTGAGCTGCAAGCTCTCCTCCGGCACGGTGGTTTCTGCTTTTTCAGTCCTGGTGGTCAGTTTGTTCAGTTGCAGCCTTCTTCTTTTCTGGTGAAGAACAAGACAGCTGCTTTCTGGAGGGGTCCTTGGATCATTGATGCTTGATTGGGGGTGCATCGTGTTGTCTGGTTGCAGCTCTCCACCGTTATCTGCGTGCTTCAGTGGCTGGAGATGTGCTTTGGGTTGATCCGGTTTCCCTAGTTCCATGTTCCAGGGCTCGGGTTTCCCAGGGTTAAGTCTAGCCAGCCAGCCTGTGATCTATCCTTGTGCCCATGATGTTAGGAAGTTTGTGGCATTGGGTGCCATGTTTGGCAACATGTCTTGCCAGCATTGAATGTAATGAAATGCTATTTTCTAGGTGAGCCCTGGAGGCTCCCTGGCAACCTTCCCTCCCTCCAGTCAGCATTTTTTGCGCTTTTATACTTAGCTTCTGAACTGGAGTGCTGGGTAGCCGGGGAGGGGAAGGCTGCTCGGATGAGAGGTGCAGCAGTGGAGTGTGATGTTTGTTTCCTTGGAATTGGAGGTAGTTCTACCTTTCTTTTCAGTTTTTAGTTGTAATTTTCTTACCATGTGAGGTTGGTTTTGTTATGCCTACCTTTTTGGTTGCCTAACCCCGATTAGTGGCAGATAAGAAAAACCCCTACCACGGTTTTTTTTCCAGGGCCATTGCTCTGCAACCTCTCTGTGGGGGGCTAGGTTCTGGTTTATGGTCCCCGGTAGGTCGAACTCCAAAGACTAATGCCCTGGTCTAATATATCACACATTAGTCAGATAGCTCCAGGGAGCTTCCAGGGCTCACCCAGAAAATTGCGTTTCATTACATTCATTGCTGGTTTTTAGTTTAATGGTAATATGCATGTACTGTATTAATTTCTTCATTTATATTTCTATTTTATTTGTTATGGCAGTTTGATTTATTAGCATTGGGTGTATCTTAAATTTTAAGCTTCTGTCTCATCTCATGGTTCTCAGCGTTTTGAACAGAATTTATGAACATCACTGATGTTTGATAAAATATTTACTCTTAAATACAATCAGTGTTAATGAGATATATATAATACCTTGAAGTATATTACTTAGTGAGGGTCAATATAATATGTTATATATTAATTGAAGTATTTTAGACATTATTAAGGTATTTTTAAACAAATCTAGTAATTATGTATTTCGTTAGATGTTGTCATTTCATTCATTGAAATGACACCATAAATTTTGGGTTTAGGGGTGGTACAGAGAATAGTAGAGAGTTAAGACATTTTCTGCTTGCTATCTTTTTCTAGAAGAATTCATGATAATGAATATTTTTGTGCATTTGGGATCATTTAAATCTTATTTGTCAAGTATGCCCTTTGAGGCAGTGTTAGTTTTCACTTTGGTTTAAGCCAGTTTCTGGAGTATAACCATATCTCCTCCAACTTCTCATAAAATCCTAACCGGATTACCAATATTGAGCTAAATAAAGGAGATGTGCCGTAATATCTCACCGAGTGCAGTAGTGGCTGCAGATCCAGGAGTGAGTTGACTAGCAAATAATGTTCCTATCCTTGCGCTGAATTAGCAACTTATCTCTGCTCATGGATCTAATCCATAATAAAAATCTGATACTAGCTACTTACTATACTTGACATTTTTTTTAGAAAGACATTGCTGCATACTAGTACTTTACCTGGTTTGTATATAAAGAAAATTGGCTGTGTAGAGTGTAACCTGTGGAACTAGACTAATGTGTAGCCTTTGGGTTTAAGAGTGTCCTCAAAAATTTAACTTTCTTTTATGCTCCTCCATCTGCTGGGTTATTGCTTAGTTTGTGCATGTGCATGTTCCCTTCTTAATCTATTAAACACTGATACTTTAGTCATGGATTAGGTTAGAGCTTAGGTTTGGCCTTGGGCTTTTGTGTTTTTGTAGTCCGTATTATTTTGTGTACAGTACAATTCTGTACTACTATAAAATTTGGCTGGGAGCTAGCAATTAAATTTCTAAATTTTAATGGCATTCTTTTTTCTTAATACACCTCAGGGAACAGTTAGATGAATATTTCGACTTTAATGTACCTATATAATCTGTACAAAAAACTTATTGTCGGAAATATACTGGACAATTCTCTGCATTAATCTATTGTGTAAATTGTGATGTGTATTCTACTGTAATGCTTAAATACAGTACAGTGCTGCACATTTCAGATTTTGCAGCATAAAGGCTTTTGTAAATGTAAAGTTAATAGTCTCTTCACTGTTATATTGGTGTAAAATACATGCAGAAGTTAACTATGCTGTGTCTTTAGTGCTACACTTTCTGTACAGTACAGTTGCACCTCGACTTACGATTGCCCCTACTTACGATAATTTCGAGTTACGATGTAAATTTCATCGAAAAATGCGACTCGACTTACGATATTTGTTGGTACACTTTCGGGTCGACCGAGCACGTGGTTCCTGGTCACGTGGCCGACCTGCCTCAGTTTACTACAGCTGCCCGCTTAGTGACGATCGCGCCTATAAGAAATTTTGCTTTTGTGGTGATTTTTTGCATTTTGAACATTGAAATAATTATTATATATCAAGCCATGAGTCCCAAGAAAGTCAGTGGTAAGGCTCAACATATGAGTTCCCATGTAAGGATGACCATAGAGCAGAAACAAGAGATCATTCGTAAATACAGTATGAAGATGGTGTGTGTGTTGTTGGAAAATGTTAAAACGAAGGGAAAAACAAATGTCTCTTGACAAATTTGTAGTGAGACAAACAAGCACTGAACCACAACCAGGTCCTAGTGGTATTCAGGCAAAACGTAGGAGAGAGTACCCCAGAGAAAACATCACTGCCTTATGTGATAATGGAAGGGGACTCCCCTTTCAAACAGTAACAACTCTCCTCCTACTCCCCCCCCCCCATCCCCCCATCACCATCTTCCATATACTGTACCATCAAGAGCCCTCCATAAAGGTAAGATAAACTTAGGTACTGTATTGCAGTTAGAAAAAAACATTGTATTCAGTATAAAATGTATTTGTATGTTAATATTTTGGAGGGTGGGGAACAGATTAATTCAAATCCCTTTATTTCTTATGGGAAAAATCGCTTCGACTTACGATATTTCGACTTACGATCCGTCTCTGGGAACGGATTAGCATCGTAAGTCGAGGCCCCATTGTATGTGATTGGACCAAAAACTGTTAGTGGCTGTATTGAGTAAACACAGGGGGCATTTGGATATGTCAAAGAAATGCTCTCAAGTCTCTATATGAGCTTTACCAAGCCTCATTTATTTTTTAAATATTAAATTTTTGTATTTTCTTGATAAATACTATCTATAATTTTTATTTGCAAAACTGACACTGGTAAACAAAAATATCATTAGTCATATTAGCTTGTATATCAGAGTTGCTATATTTTTTTTAAGTGCTCAATCTTTACAATGCAGAAATTATTTAAAAGAATGACATAACGACTGATGAATGTTCAGGTTTTGTAAATTATATAGTAAGTACTACTGTACTAGATATTACAGCTAACTCATAGTTAAGAGCACCTTTGAACAAAATAAACATTAAATTATATTTCCAGTGGACCGTAATTTTAAGAAATCTTCTGTATAATTCCCTTGGGGTGTCCTTTAAAATTTAAAGTTTAACAATGCTTGACTAAAAAAAAAAAAAAGTGAGAATGTGAGAAATCATGCATATCCCTGCTTTGGCTCTTAGGTTCTGTAATCTGTGCACCAGGGTATGGTTATAATCCCTCTACATAAGCCTGTAATTGGTGAAGGGATGCCATATATGATTAGTGATTTTATATGATATACCTTACCTAATCATATTTTTCATAACTTGTCCAAATTTTCAGTGGTACATTAAAAAGAGTTTTGCCCATAGCCATTGGCAAAGGAATGACAAAAGGTAATTATCGTATTTAAGGAATGAAAAGTTATGACATAGTAGGATAGGCTAAAACAAGAATATCTAAAATTTTAGATAGATGTTATGTAGAAAATTACTAAGTTAAGGAAGGTTGAATTTTGAGAACACATTAACCAAGTTGATACATATATATGTACTTAGCAGTTAATATGTGGTGATGGTGTCTTTTTCTTATAGCACCTGGTCCTCCTGGCCCCCCCGGCCCACCTACGGGTCCGGGGGGACCCCCAGGACCAGCTGGTCCCCCGGTGCCCCGCCCCTTGACGTTACCTCCTGGGCCTACTCCTGCCCCAGGACCAATCACCACAATTGTGCCACAAGCTGCTGGTACACCTGCAGTGGCCACTGGAACTGGCATTACTGCACTTTTACCACCAGAGCTACCAAGTAAGTGAGAGAGCAAATAGAAGTTATTGTAATTAATTTAAGTCTCAGGTTGGAATTTAATTTACTTGGGTTGGTTAATGTGCAATGCTTATGCCAGTAAATTTTTTGTGCAATGCAGTACAGCAGTACTACTGTATGCAGTTAAGACTACTATATACAGTAATAATTTTTCCCATGTGGAGTCAATTGTGCAAGCCCCAAAAATTCTTCTCTTTACAAAATAAAGGTTAAATGTAATAATTTTTCCCATGAATAAACAGTGCAGGAAGTACTATACAGTACATAAAATGCTAAGGACTATGAACTGTTAATAATTTATATTTTTATCTAAAAGCATTTGTAGCACCAAGGCGGCCTAACCTTGGCCGTGAAGGGCGGCCAATCACTTTACGGGCCAACCACTTCCAAATATCTATGCCCAGAGGCTACATTCACCACTACGATGTAAGCATTCAACCTGATAAGTGCCCCCGGAAAGTCAACAGAGAGATTATTGAAACGATGGTCCATGCCTTTCCTAGAATCTTTGGCAGCTTAAAGGTAAGATCTTTCAGAATATTAATTTAGCTACTGTATTTATACAATTGTTAATGAAAGATTAGCTAAATCATATTTGCATTTGCATGTTAATCAAAGCTGATACGAACATTTAAATTTACAGTAGGCCTACTGCCCAATGGAAGCATATTCTAGTTACACAAAGTACTTTTCAGAAATTGGGGAAGATTTGGGAGTAGACAACACCAACACAAACTCTTGAAGTTATTGTAATGTGGAAGCACATACACCTAGGATAGTGTTAGCAGCATGCACAAAACTGGGAAACAAATGAGTGGCTTTAAACAAACTGGAGATACAGTACTCTTCTCTTTCAATTAGGAAATAATGTGAAGACCATTGGGAACACAACAGATAAACTATTTCTGAGGCAACACATTACTAAACAAAATAAAAAGATGGAAGATCCTACCAGCTGCTCTTGATTATTACTTGCCCAAAATGAGGTGGATGTTGAGAAAAGAAAATATGAACTACAACTGGGAGCTAATGAGCATTATAGTAAACTAAAGTGAGCTATAGAGCTAAAAGCATTATAGTATTTTATTATGCTATAATTGTCAAACTGAGAGGAGACCAAACAAAGAATGGATTACAAAGGGTAAGGGACTACCTTCTGGAAATCCTGTAGAAAAAACTAATATCAAAAGAAAAACATCAAATGAAAAAGCATCTAATATAATAATGTAGAGAAAGGCCCAAAATGTGTGGTTTAATATGCAATGCAGACCCCCCACCCCTCAAGGGGTTTTGCTGTGACATGGTGAGTTGGCTCATGTACAACCCTCTGGGGCTGGTGGGGGTTGCCTGCCCCTCACTGGGTGTTTAGTACGTGCAAAAAAACCATATAGGGTACCTGTTCAGGTCATTGGACCATTTACCAGCATGTAATCTGCACCTTGTGAATGCAAAAATGACACTTTAAAAACAGATTTGCAGCATGGCAGTGTCTGATTTGAGAACTAAGCTATGAGGTCAAAAGAGGAGCAACTGTGCACTTATGCTTTTATGAATGCCTCTGTTCGTAAATTTAATTAACGATTAATTCAAATTGTTTCAAGAATTTGAAGAATCTAGCATTTTTCAATAATCGGAATTGGTATGGGAATCTAGAGAAATTTGTCAATATTTCTGAATCTTAAAATTGATCTTTTTAACATTTAATAACAATCTTTTTTTTTGTTTCTGGTAATAATTAAAATTGTTTCAATTATGATCATTGACAGTCAAGTAATAAAATTTTATGTGAACAAATGGTTAAATTTTGTATTGCAGTGTAAATTGTATATAACATGTATACCTGTGATGGGTAATGGATTGTTTTCAGTGTTTCTTATGTTTTGTAAATTAAGGATTACTTTTGAGTAAAAAGGAATTAGTTATGCTTTAATTGAGCTAGTGTTGCACTATTAATTTCATTCACAATGAAACCAGAATGGTGTGTTGTATCAATGACAATTATTTTGAGACAATAGGAATGACTTGAACCAGCATTCTGGCGATTCTCAGACATCAACCATAAACTGACTTGGCCATGATGGGCTAAAAGTGGACTAACCCAGAACTCTAGTGAATTCACTGGGAGGGTCTGGAGGCCCAGAACCAGAACCCAACCAGGATTTTACAGTCGACCTACCCACACTCTCTCACTCTGGGCTGCGGTAGTGGTGTTCACACTCTTACACCTCACTCAGATCACAATGAAATCAAAATGGAGGGATGTATCAATGAAAATAATTTTGAGGCAATGGCCTTAACTGACTTTTCAAGGAGACAGTTAAGGCAGTTGTCTGGGATTCACCAGAATGCTAGTCCAAGTCACTCCATTGCCTCAAAATTATTTTCATTAACGTTATTTGAAATAAGATGACACATTTGATTTGATTGTATTGTACACAATTGAAGCATGCATATCCACATGTATAATGGAATGTTTTCACTTTAAAGGTTTCTTCCAGAAGATTAAGTTGGATTTACCAATTGTTTTCTATTCAAAAATCAATATTATATATTACTATTGTACATTTACCATGCTTATAATGTAAATCGTAAATTTTCCAAACTAAAATACAAAAATGTTTCAGAAAATTAAATATCCAATTATATTTTTTAAAAGATTTGGAATTTCATAATTGTATTGGAATTTGTATAGAAATAGTTAGAATTTTCAGTATTGTCTCACTATTAAAAACCAAATGACACAATTCAGACACAAAATACATTAGATTATAAAATCTATGGGTCAGGGCATAATGAGCTAGACCTTACTCTGTGTTGTCACTTGATAGGCAAATATTATCACCACGTTAAACACGGTAACCAAAACAATAAAACCACAATTATCACAAAAACCACATCAGCCATAACCACCATTAATTAAATCAGTACACTAAAAGTCACTTTAATCCCAATTACATACACAACCTCAACTGCAAACAACCAGTACATTCACTCTGCTCATTACTTCATTACATTGGCCTGTATTCATTTATAGCACATTGTGATCATTGTACCCCGTACTCAATACACTGCCCTGTTTGTATCCGGGAATAGATTGGCTTTGTGATACTATTCTCGGTCATCCTTGGGCAATTTTAACATACTGTACCTAGTTTTGCCTTATTTTCTATACCACATAATGAAATGTACTGTAGTTTATATTCAATGCATATCTTTATCTTGATTTTCAGCCTGTCTTTGATGGTAGAAGTAATTTGTATACAAGAGATCCTCTACCTATTGGTAATGAGAAGATGGAATTAGAGGTGGGTGCTATATATACATCTATTGATTTTGTATGATAATGGCCTACACTGAAAACATAAGTAAGAAATATTTGGCTCACATTGGTCTTAACAAAATTATTATTGATATATGTTGGCGAGGCTATCTTATTTGAGCGAAGAAGCACTATTTTAAAGATAAAACCGATTTCATGTGATAAAGCACAGAGGCTAATACGGGTGATATTGGTGCAATATGTCCTTGCTCAGGTGTGTTAGGGGAACATATCGGTGGGATTTTTACCCACTGTAAGAATTTTTCACAATTCTTTTCATAATTATCCTAATATACGTGCATTTAGTGGTGTTCATTTGTAGCAGTAATGACCGATATATAGCTGTGTCACATGCATTTATCCATAAGTTCCATTACTGTTTAATATTAAGTTGGCTATATAGAATTTTTTTTATTACATCCCAATTATGTGACTAGAACACCTTCACATTTAATATGGGATTACTATTCAAAGCATAACAAATTCAGTAATGAGACTGGTTTGCTCATTCACTTTAAAATTTGTCAGAATGATTTAATGTTAGATTGTAGTGCAAGAATTTACATGTATAGCATTCATAGTATGATGGTGTAAGTGATTTCCAATTTTTTCTTTACATGTATAGCATTCATAGTATGATGGTGTAAGTGATTTCCAATTTTTTCCAGGTAACATTACCCGGGGAGGGACGAGACAGAGTCTTCAAAGTAGCAATGAAGTGGTTAGCACAAGTAAATCTTTACACCCTGGAAGAAGCTCTTGAAGGGCGTACTCGAACAATACCTTACGATGCCATACAGGTACCTTCAACGATTGTCATTTGTGGTTTTGAGCTTGTACAGCACTTAATTTTCCTCGTGTATATTTAGTCAACATTGTTTTTCTTTGCTATTCTTACCTTAGTGTTTCATTTAGCATTCCTATGTAGTGTTCAATCTTCCACTTTTGTACATCTTAGTTTAATCTTGCTTTAAATTTGTTTGTTTCTCTACTTCATAAATATGTATTTTACATAATACATTAGAATAAAGTGGCTGGTACATTGAAAACCCTTGTTGGAAAAAACCCAAGAGAATACCTGGATTGTACCTGATCTGGGATTCTGGGAGTTCTACTCTCCAAGCCCGGCTCCACAGGCCCACATATCCACCACAACCCGTTGGTCCAGCACTTCTTGAAGAAAACTATCTAAGTTTTCTCTTTACGGTGTCCACCTTTGTTCCGTCAAGATTTCTAATACATATACTCGCTGGGAGGGTGTTGAACAACCGTGGACCTCTGATGTTTATACAGTGTTCTCTGATTGTGGCTATGGCACCCTTGGTCGTTCCACACCAAATCATCACAGCTCTCAACCTGACCGTCTCAGATTTACATTAAATTTGGTAGGATGTGTATGAAAGTATTTCACAGCATCTTTGCTTACAAGCTCAAACAAATTAATACTGTAACTCACAACTTTGCTTCTAATTGAAGTAGAACCTTCAAGTTGGGCTTGTTCTAAGCTAAGGAAACATTGTTTTCATTAAAAATAGTTTTATCATTAAATATATACATATATATATATTTTTTCAAGATATCACATGACCTTTGACGTTATATATTAAATATGTGTATCATAATTTGGATTTTTTTAATTTTTACATTCTCTTATTGGTGTAAATTTCATTTTGGGATGACTTTTTGCAACAGGAGAAAAACAATTATAAAGAATAGGTGTGCAGTAGTTAAACACTTCTTGCACCAAACATGTATTAGGCACATCAGTTGATGAAGAAAGAACACAAACTTTGCCTGTGTGTCAACAAGATATAATGGAGAATGACAAATTGCTACACAGATGGCTTGAAACTAGGCAAATATCTGGAACTTGAACGCTTCATGCTTTCATGCCAGAAACGGGGAATGAATTAATAATATAGATTTTCTGGAAAATCAACTAATGAAGTGCAGCAAACAAATACCCCACATGAGACAGTCTTTGGAAGTAATAAAAGGTTTTATGACATGCATCTGAAATGATTCCTGGTTGTAAGGTTGTTGTGAATGTGAATGCAATGTCAAAGGAGGTTTTGATCAGTTTCCTACATCTCAATGGAAATCCATTGAGATTTCCATCCCCCATTGTGTGTGTATCCTCACCAGCCATATTGAACATTCCCAATGAACCAGGTGAACTTATACAGTAACTGCTGCAGACACTCGATGCTCAGAAGTGCTACAGAGAAGGCACTATTTATGATGGCAAGTTTTACTCAAAATTATATAATGGGTTTGTCTCCAACATGGTTATTTCCATAAGCAATTGCTTAGGTATTTCCTTAAATGTGAAGTATGCTACTTTTGTGATATTTTACTCATGTTCCCAAAGCCATCCCAAATGGAACTTGTACCAGACAGAGAATCCATTTAACTGTATAACATGTATATTTTCCTGAAAAATTAAAGATACACGTTCTATATTCAAGGTCAAAGGTAGCATCATGTAATGTTGAAGAAAAAGGGAATTATCAGGAAAAAGCTTTAAGCCATTACAACTATATAGCACATGGAAGGGATCAGGATAAGGATTTGGGGTGGAACAGTGGAAAGGAATGGTGCCCAACCACTTGGACAGTCTGGGGTTGAACGCCAGCCTGCGTGAATCGAGACTATCGCTCTATCTTGAGATTATCTTGATGATTTCGGGGCCTAGCGTCCCTGTGGCCTTTTTGTTACACACACCCCCCAGGAAGCAGCCCATAGCAGCTGTCTAACTCCCAGGTACCTATTTATTGCTAGGTAGTAGGGCCATCAGGGTGAAAGAAACATTTTGCCCATTTGTGTCTGCCTCCATCGGGGATCCAACCCGGAACCTCAGGACTATGAATCTGAAGCGCTGTCCACACAGCTGTGAGGCGCTCTACCGTAATGTTATATAATGTTGAAATTAAAAAAATTCAATATTAACTGTAAAACTATTTTAATGAAAGCAATGTTTCCTTGGCTTCAAAACAAGTTCAACATTTAAGGATCTACCTAAATTATAAGCAAAGTTATGAATTTTTTTTTTGTTGAGCTTGTAAGCAAAAATGTTGTATATTTTTCACATTGGCAACCCTAATGTATGAATATCGTGCATCACTAAGTGCTAGTCTGTTGCTCACTAAATCCTGAATATAATTTTTCCCACAAGTTCATTTTCTTAAAGGAACACAAGGTCCTGTTTCATGTAGATGCAATAAACTGCAGCTATGTTCTGTGAACATCGTAACCAGCATTTGGTTCACTAGTTTCTGAACCTTGTACAGTGTTTTAAGTCAAGATTATTTATGATAGTCATTAAACAATTGTAGTTATTAATTTTGTCATTATTAAGTGATGCTGTGGGTACGAGCTGTCTGGCAGTGCTGTGAACTGCTGTTGCACGGCCTACTGTCACTGTCATCTCAGTTCCAAGATGGCATCTGTTTACTGGAGTGCTGAGGAAGCAGATGTGAGCACTATATACCCGTATAAGTTTTAAATTTTATGCGGAACTTTTTAAACCTCACTAAACGTGTTTCACAGCTTCTGGATAATTAGGAAGAGCATCCCTGATTGTGTTGTGGGGTTGAAGGGTTAAGCATGATTTTCCATTTCGGAAGCCGCGTTGTGGCTCTGTTATAAAATTTACCCTCGCCAAATATTCTACAGTCCTTTTTCTGATGATTTTTTTTGTTGCATGGAATAAATGTTGATAATATGGGTCAGTAGTTTAGTGCTTCATGTCTGTCCCCTTTCTTGAATATTGGGTTTATTACATTGGATTGGGTTTTTTTCAGATTTCCTGTAGCACTCCTATTTCAAGTGTAATGTTAACACTATAGTTAATGGGTAACACTAAGATTCCTGCACCTTCCTTCAGGAACCATGGTGATATCTGGTCTGGTCCTACTGTATGTGTTACAGTTCCTCCAGGTATCTTTCTACCTCTTATACTTTTAACTTCAGTTCTGTCTAGTGTTGTTTTTGGTTGTCTGTTGGCACCCGTACTTGCACACCAATCTGATTGTGTATGTATGTGTTTGTACAGTGTATATATATATATATTTTTTTTTCCTACAGGCTTTAGATGTAGTCATGCGCCACTTGCCATCTATGACTTATACCCCTGTTGGAAGGTCATTTTTCTCTGCCCCGGATGGTTACTACCACCCGTTAGGTGGTGGTCGGGAGGTGTGGTTTGGATTTCACCAAAGTGTACGACCATCTCAGTGGAAGATGATGCTCAATATTGATGGTAATTACATACTGAACTGTGTTGTTCATTCATGTTTTATTTGCAGTACATTGGAAGTTGTCAAACAATATGCAATTAGTCTACAGTATTTGGAAATATTTTGCTTCAGAAGTTGATTACAGTACTTCATTTTCTCTTATTAAGGCTTGGCCTGTAATTATTTTATTGCCCACTTGGTGTTCTACCACTTTCTGCAAATGTTTTTCATACTTGTTTTATCGTTAATGTTTTTACATAATCTAATTTTCCATGATTATTTTGTAAAATTTTTGAATATTACTTCATTATAAAGGCACTTTTTTTGTAAATTATTTATCTACTAATTAATGATAACATAAATTCCATGCCAAATTCTCTGGGAATGCACCAAATATCAGTATTGTTTATAACAAAAAATGTAGTGGAAATATTCCTGAACCTTTTAGGTGGGAGGGAAGGAGGGGGTTTGGAGCTTTAGACACTTAATTTTTGGTATGGCACTTAATCTTAGCAATTTTAACAATTTTCATATGATGTGTGTGGGCTTTGAGAACTTACAATGCCCTGCAGTTTTTAACGGCCAGTATTGAAGCAATTTTTTCATTATAATTAAGCCTGTCATGTAACATCTTGAAAAATGTCAATCGGTAAACACAACAATTTTCATATGACTAATAGGAACATTCGGTAAATTCCAAGGTTGAAGGTTAGGTTGTCTTTTGTCAAACAAAAACTCCTTGATACTTCTACCCGCCAGTATAAAATACATTGTGGATGGTGTTTGGGTGTGGTTGCATGTTATATATATGCTTTCCTAGTTGTGCCCACAGTGAGTGAGATCTAACTCTAGAGCCTTGCATATGAGTATTTTTGTACATTTCTGTCTCGTATATATGTAACTGACACCTATGCTTCCATGTTCTATTGTTCATGGATAATACTAAATGTATCTTCTTTGTCAATTCCCTTCAGCTTTGTGTGTTGTGATCATATCATATTTTCCCATATTAGATTTAGTTGTGTGCTCATAACTTATCCCTTTAATCTCTTAATATTTGTCTCATGTCATATCTTAACATCTTAAATTTTTATCTTGTGCTATACCATGTGCGAATTCCACGCTAGAGTTGCATATTCTGCAGAGACTGGCCCTCGCATTCTCTGTGTATAATATTCCTGTGCGTTGTGGACTTACCTACAGCGGGAATGAAAACTATCTCTTTAGGCTCAGCCTTCTAACTTTTTGTATGGTGTGTTTAAACATATTTTGATATTCTGTTGTATTTGCTTTTGAAGCAGTGGCTGTTGTATTTGCTCTTGAAGCAGTGGCTGTTGTATTTGCTCTTGAAGCAGTGGCTGTTGTATTTGCTCTTGAAGCAGTGGCTGTTGTATTTGCTCTTGAAGCAGTGGCTGTTGTATTTGCTCTTGAAGCAGTGGCTGTTGTATTTGCTCTTGAAGCAGTGGCTGTTGTATTTGCTCTTGAAGCAGTGGCTGTTGTATTTGTTCTTGAAGCAGTGGCTGTTGTATTTGCTCTTGAAGCAGTGGCTGTTGTATTTGCTCTTGGAGCAGTGGATGAAGGTGGTTTCAGTGTCTATTTATTCATTTGCTCATCACTATTATTAAATAGTGACCTTGCTTGGCACAATTAAGCTTTAATGAATACTAAAAATCTTGTGTAAAAAAAGTAGGAACTTTTTGTTAAATTTCTATAATTGTTGAATTTAATACAATTCCTTTTCATTACAGGTAATTTGATTTGGTATGCATACAGTATGTATTTGGATCATTGTGAATATTTTATAGTATACACTCTATACTATAAATCTATGATACTATACTATATACTCGCAATCTATGATCCCTAATGAGGGTGATTTTTCTTTGTAAACCTGTAAGCCTCATTTCACTTAACTTGGTGCCTGCTCATAAAATATATAATACTGTATTAAGTCAAATATGCATTTGTGTTTCAGTATCTGCAACAGCGTTTTACAAAGCTCAAGCGGTAATAGAATTTATGTGTGAAGTGTTGGATATACGAGAAATTGGTGAACAACGTAAACCTCTAACAGATTCTCAACGTGTAAAGTTCACTAAGGAAATTAAGGGATTAAAGGTAAAATAAGCTATTCTAATATCAGTATTAATATAATTAAGTTTTGCACTTTAGTAACATGCAACAAAGATTTTACTACATTGTATTTTATTCCATTTATATACAGCAAGTTTGCATGTAAATTGTCATACTCTATGGTAAGGCCATACTCTTTCTATATGACCATATATAGAGTATGACTGTAAATCATATGGTCATACTCTTTACATAAACTTTCAATTTATCTTTAGTAAAAGTTACCAATTATAATATAGTGGGGATGCCTTTATTTACAAGTTGTATGTGTTCTTAGAAAACCTCATGTAAATTCAAATTTCATGAATCTGACATGTTGATATGTAAATGGTACAAATCTGTCTTTTTCCCTTTTGTTTCATAGTAATTACCAGAGAATAAAGCAGGCCTTAATATTTTGTAAGGGTGAAGTTATACCCTTTTCGTATTTGTTGGTCATGTGAACAATTAGTAGTAGATACATGGTGCACTTGCTGTGCAACCAACCAGTTGTGCAACATTGTTGGGAGCTTGGTATTTGTAACTCATTTTTATGGGGTGGAAGGCAGGACAAGTTATCAGATCTTAAATTGTTAACCTATTCCTTCCAATGTGCCTAAGATGTTTCTATATAATGCTTGTCAGTAATTTTAGTACAGACATAGGAATTACATCTTTTCTTTTTGGTTAGTGTACCAAGTAATTGGATAGGCTATCTGTTTAAAGCTATGAGTTAAAATTACATAAATCTTATCTTGCAGATTGAAATTACTCACTGTGGTGCAATGCGAAGAAAATACCGTGTGTGCAATGTTACCAGAAGACCTGCTCAAATGCAGTCGTGAGTTATTAAATTTATATTGTGGGTAAACACTTTCTTTGCATGCAAATATTTGAATCCTCATTTGCAACTTTGTTACATGTATTATATTTTATTTACTCATGGAGGTAATTACTTGACATTCCAATATTCTTCAGCTGTTATTTATGTTACTGGGCTTAGTCAAAGGACATCGTGAAATTTAGGATGGTGAACATTAACCTCATACTATTTGTTACATCAGTGACACTATATAGCTTCGCTAATAAAGTGCACCACTGCACTTCATCAATATTAGCACCCCACTGCTCCTCAAGGCCAGGTGTTTCTCGTATCCAATGCTCTCTTCCTTAATTCTCCCTACCCCCACTCCTTATCCCCTCCACTTATCCATCTTTCTTCTACTCTCCCCGCTCCCTCCAACTAAACTCTCCTCCATAAGGACCCCTTCTTCCCCAAAGTTCTCTCCTCTCGCCCTTCAAGCTACAACCATACTGCCTCGTTCATTCTAAAACATAAACGTATGTGTGTAATTACCTAAGTGTAGTTACAGGATGAGAGCTACGCTCATGGTGTCCCATCTTCCCAGCACTCTTTGTCATATAACACTTTGAAATTACTGATGGTTTTGGCCTCCACCACCTTTTCACCTAACTTGTTCCAACTGTCTACCACTTTGTTTACAAAAGTGAATTTTCTTATTTCTCCGGCAGCTTTGTTTCGTTAGTTTAAATCGGTGACCTCTTGTTCTTGAAGTTCCGGGTCTCGGGAATTCTTCCCTATCAATTTTAGTGATTCCTGTTACTATTTTGTATGTAGTGATCATATCCCCTCTTTTTCTTCTATCTTCTAGTTTTTGCATATTTAATGACTAACCTCTTTCATAGCTCTTGTCCTTCAGTTCTGGAAGCCACTTAGTGACATGCCGTTGCACCTTTTACAGTTTGTTGATGTGCTTCTTAAGATATGGGCACCATACAACCGCTGCATATTCCAGCTTTGGTCTAACAAAAGTCGTGAACAATTTCTTTAGTATTTCTCCATCCATGTATTTAAAAGCAATTCTGAAGTTAGAAAGTGTAGCATAGGCTCCTTGCACAATGTCCTTAATGTGGTCCTCAGGTGACAGTTTTCTGTCAACCACCCCTAGATCCTTTCTTTGTCAGAATTCTTTAAAGATTTCTCACATAATTTATAGGTTGTGTGGGGTCTATGTTCTCCAATTCCACATTCCATAACATGGCATTTATTCACATTAAATTCCATTTGCCAAGTGTTGCTCCATATAGTTTTGTCCAGGTCTTCTTGAAGGGCGTAACAATCATCTAGGTTTCTTATCTTCCCTATTATCTTAGCATCATCAGCAACCATGTTCATATAATTCTGCATTCCAACTGGTAGATCGTTCATGTAGACAGTGAACGTTACCGGTGCAAGAACTGAACCCTGTGGTATTCCACTTGTGACATTCCTCCAATCTGATACATTGCCTCTGATTATGGCCCTCATTTTTCTGTCAGGAAATTTTTCATCCATGTTAGCTTACCTGTCATCCCTCCAATATGTTCCCGTTTCCAGAACAACCTCTTATGTGAAACTCTCGAAAGCCTTTTTTAGGTCCAGATAGATGCAGTCAACCCAACCATCTCTTTCCTGTAAAATCTCTGGCTTGATCATAGAAACTGAGTAAGTTCGTTACACAGGGTCTTCCAGATTGAAAACCATACTGTCTGTCTGATATTATATAGTTTTTCTCCGTGTGTTCTACCCGTTTAGTTTTAATTATTTTTTCCAATATTTTGACTGACACTTGTCAATGATACAGGTCTATAATTAAGGGGGTCTTCCCTGCTGCCACTTTTGTAGATTAGAACTATGTTAGCTTTTTTCACACATCAGCTACAACTCGTGTAAATAGGGATGCCTGAAAAATCGGTTGAATTGGAATGCTGAGCTTAGGTGCACATTCTCTCAGAACCCATTGTGAAACTCCATCTGGACCAACTGCTTTGTTCATACTTAGCTCCTTGAGCATTCTTTCTACTTCGTCTCTAGACACCTCTGTGTGATCTATGTTCTCTGGAATTCTTATTGTGTCTGGTTCCCTGAAGATTTCATCTTGTACAAACACACTTTGGAACTTTTCATTTAATGTTTCACACATTTCCTTTTAATTTTCCGTGAATCTATTTACCATTTTCCACCTCTGAATATTATCCTTAACCTGCAATTTGTTTATGAATTTATAGAATAGACCTGGTTCTGTTTTACACTTGTCTGTAATACCTTTTTTCAAAATTTCTTTCTCTGTCTCTCCTCACTGCTATGTAGTTGTTTCTGGCATCTTTGTATCGCTGGTATGTTTTGGGGTTTGGCCTCTTCCTATATTGATTCCATTTTTGTGTCTTTTGGTCTCTGGCCCTCTCGCAATTTCTGTTGAACAAATCCTGTTTCCTAGTTCTGCATCTCCGTTTTGGTATAAAAAAATTTGTGCCTTTATCATTTATTTCACAAAACTTGACATACATATCATTTACTTCCTTGCCTAGCAACAAGTCTGTCCAATTATACTCACTAAAAAAAATTCTAAGGTTGCCATAATGTCCTCTCCTGAAGTCAGGTTTTTCAACTGCTTCAACCACTTTATTTTCTTCCAGATTATAATGCATTGCATACTTTATTCCCAAAAAAGACATGGTCACTTTTACCCAAGGGAGGAAGATACTAAATGTCAAATATCTCTTCCTCCTCTCTGGTAAATATCAAATTAGCATGGAGGGAACGTCCCCTTCCCTCATCCTCGTAGCTTGTTTAACACGTTGATATAAGAATGTTTCCAGGATGAGGTCTACAAATCTATAGGTCCAAAAATCCTCTGTTCTAGCTTTAAATGCTTCCCAGTGTATGGATTTTAAGTTGAAGTCCCCGACTATCAACAGTCGTGATCTATCTTTATTTGTTCTCACTATAATCTCTCATTATTGTTATAAGACCCTCTCGTTTACTATCTAGCGCCTCCTTTGTCCATGGGTTGCTTGGTGGTGGACTATATGCATTTATGATCATTAGTGTATCATCCTCATGGCAGATCTCTAGTGCTATTATGTAAACTTCTCGTAGATTGGCAATCATTATTACATTTGTGTGTGTGTGTGTGTGTGTGAAGACAGATCCAGCCTTTTCTTTAAATAAAGATAAGAGATGCAGACGATTGTAATGCCCTTCAAAATTATCTAGATAAAATAAGTGCTTGGAGTGGCAAGTGGCAAATAGAATTCAATGTAAATAAATGCAATGTTATGGAATGTGGAATCGAAGAAAATAGACCACACACAATTTACACATTTCGTGGAAAGGAATTACAGAACTCTAATAAAGAACGAGACCTAGGGGTGGTTTTGGATAGTAAGCTATTGCCATAGGAACACAAAGAACACTGTGAGAGGAGTGTATGCGTCACTTTCCAACTTCAGACTTGCTTTTAATTACATGGATGGTGAAATACTAAAGAAACTGTTAATGACTTTTGAGACCAAAATTAGAATATGCAGCAATTGTATAATGCCCAAATCTCAAGAAGCACATAAATTGGAGATGGTGAAACGCCATGCTACATAATGGCTTCCTGAACTGAAAAATAAGAGTTACGAGGAGAGACTGGAGGCGTTAACATGCCAAAACTAGAAGATAGTCGAAAAAGGGGAGATATGATCACCACTTACAAAACACTAATGGCAATCAACCTAATTGACAAAGGGGAATTCCTGAAACCAGCAACTTCACGAACAAGAAGACACAGTCAAGCTAAGGAAACAGTGGTGTCGAAAAAAATATTAGAAAGTTTCTTTTGCAAACAGAGTGGTAAATGGTTTGAATAAGCTATGTGAGGTGGTGGTGGAGGCCAAAACAGTCAGTAGTTTCAAACAACTGTTATACGACAAAGAATATGACTTGGGAAGGTGGAACAGCATGAGTGTAGCTCTTATCCTGTAACTATACTTGGGTAATTACATACACATACATACGTAGGCTGTTGTCTAACAAGAAGCTGTTTGACAACAGCTTAGGGGAGCCTCATGACTGAGTGGACAGCGCTCTGGAGTCATAGTCTTAAGGGCTCGAGTTCGATCCCTGGTAGAGACAGAAACAAATGGGCAGCGTTTCTTTCACTGTTGCACCTGTTCATCTAGCAGTAACTGGGTACCTGGTAGTTAGACAGCTTCTACGAGCTGCTTCCTGGGGATGTGTATGCACGTGTATTAGAAATGTGTAATAGACATAATAGAGGAAAAATAAATTTGTTAGAAAAGCGGAGTCCAAGAGCAAATAGCATGATTCTGCAGATATAAATAGTAAATACTTTATAGTACATTCTCACACATATACATATATACAGGTCCTTGTGACTGAGCGGACAGTGCTCAAGAATCATAATCTAAAAAATTAAGGATCAGGGTTCAGTTCCTGTCCAAGGCAAAAACACGGGGGAAGAGTTTCTTTCACATTTTGTCTCTGATCAACTGATAGTAAATAGGCACCTGGGAGGTGGACAACAACTCTTGGCTGTATCCTGGGCATTTGTGTGTGTTAGAGAAAAATATATATAGTAGATATGGTAGAGGAAAATAGGTTGTGAGTTGGGACATTAAACAACCAACGATTAGAGAGGTCAGGCCAAGAATTAACAGCTCGATGTGGCAGGCACAAATAATAAATATATTCATATACATTCACATATATGTGCACCCCCCTCATACCTCACCTTGCACACCCACCATCCACTTTTATTATTTTAAAAGTGTTACAATTTATATTTTTGTCTTGTTTATTGACCGTTTTAATTTTTGGCAGGTTTCCACTTCAGCTTGAAAATGGACAAACTGTTGAGTGCACTGTAGCTAAATATTTCCTTGACAAATACAAAATGAAACTCAGGTTCCCACATTTGCCCTGCCTTCAGGTAAGTTATATTGACTTGTACATTAAAACTTATAGCATACAGTATAATATTTTGAAATTCGAAAATAGTAATGATAGTTTCAAACTGGGAAAATTCATAAGGTCATAATTTTCCTAAAAAAAAAATGTTTTTTTTTTTGCTAGGTGGGTCAAGAACACAAACATACGTACCTTCCTCTGGAAGTCTGTAACATTGTTCCTGGTCAGCGATGCATTAAGAAGCTTACTGATATGCAGACTTCGACCATGATCAAGGCTACAGCAAGATCAGCTCCAGATAGAGAGAGAGAGATTAATAACTTAGTTCGAAAAGCAGATTTCAATAATGATCCATACATGCAAGAATTTGGTTTAACAATCAGCACAGCAATGATGGAGGTACAGTAAGGAGTTGGATGAAGGTTCAGAGTTTCTTTTATTAGATGTAACAAATACTAAAACATTTTCAAAGAAATTTGTTTTCTGTACTGTACTCATTTGTCTCATGTACTGGGTGTATGGTGCTACTCGTTAATCATCATATACACAGTTATAGATCATATAGACTCTGTTACCATTATAAAGACAAAAAATAAGAGTGAATTTTTTGCTTACATTTGTAAAACACTGTGTATTGTAAACACTTCCTACCAGGTACTGAGCAGCCTGGACCATGCTTTTTATTGGAGAATGAAGAATGAACTAAAAGCCACTTATTATCATAAGACAAAAATGAATTGTATATAGTTAAAGAACAGCTATTTTTTAAACTAGAAATTAAAAAAAAATTGGTCACATTGACTCAGTAGAAACTGCCCACAAACTCATTTATCTCAGACTCTCGCCTCTCAAAATGCATTTAATACACCGATGGTCTATGGAGTTTTAAGTAGCTTTAAGGTCTTATCTATGTTTACTTACCAATTAATGACCATGAGACAAGGCCTAACCCTTAACTTTATTGAACCTTGCACATTTTAAATAATTTAGTTTTCTGTTGTAAATGACTTTTTTGTGGATTGCAGTGAAATTAACCCTTTTGCTGTGGTTACTCATTTTGTGGGTAGTTTCTACTGAGTCAATGTGACCAATTTTTAATATTTCTAGTTTAAAAAATAACTTCCTTAACTATACAATTCATTTTTGTTTTATGACAATAGGTGGCTTTTAGTTCATTCTTCATTCTCCAATAAAAAGCATGGTCCAGGCTGCTCAGTACCTGGCAGTAAGTGTTTCCTATACAGTGTTTTACAAATATAAGCAAAAAATTCACTCTTATTTTTTGTCTTTATAATGGTAACAGAGTCTATATGATCTATAACCGTGTATATGATGATTAATGAGAAGCACCATACATCCAATTTTACTGGTTATGAAATGGTAAGGTGCTATGGATGGCTTCTGTTTTTCTCTTATTTTTAATATATACAGTATAAATCCTTCACTTGAGCAAATTTTTCCTAATTTATTTTTCCTGGCTGATGATGCCTCCCCACATCAACAAAGGGAGAGATGTAGCAATGATGATTTATGCATGTACAGTATATCTTATTGTAGTTAAGAATTAACATGCTAGAAAGTTAATTAATGTATTTTACAGGTGCGTGGACGGGTGCTTCCACCTCCAAAGTTACAGTATGGAGGGCGAACTAAGCAGCAGGCATTGCCAAACCAAGGAGTGTGGGACATGAGGGGAAAGCAATTCTTCACTGGGGTGGAAGTTAGAGTGTGGGCAGTTGCATGCTTTGCCCCACAACGAACAGTTAGAGAGGATGCTTTACGTAATTTTACTCAACAGCTACAGAAAATAAGTAATGATGCTGGTAAGTTGAGCAAATTAAAATATCGGAAGCTTCTTAAAATGAATACTATTAGTTTTGTCATCTAGTACTGTTGATCTGTTGTTTTTTAGAGGTACAGTACTCAAAAACTAATAATTTAAATTCTTGTATAAAACATTGTTAACTTGAACCAGATAAAACATATTTCTAATTAAAATAATAGTAACAGTACTCTGGTTATTCCTGTATTTGGCTTATATGCACAAAACTGAATTATAGTAAGTGGTGTTGTACTGATGTGTGTATACAGTATAGTTTAGTTATTATCCCCAACATGCAGTCATTGATATTTATTGATCACCTGCAGCCATTGTCATTTACTGAATTTTATTTTTATTGACCAGTCATTACACTATTAATATAAATATGGTTACATTCTGAGGGTTAAGGCTTTATTATTTATATTAATTTTTATTGGTTTTATGATGTCTGCAAACATTTTCTAGTCATTTTTTTATATAGAGATGTTACATGGAATCAAGTGAATATTGAATTGTTTATATTCTTAAACCCCTCTTCTATTTTCATGCATTCAGGAATGCCTATTATTGGTCAGCCATGTTTTTGCAAGTATGCCAATGGACCTGACCAGGTAGAGCCAATGTTTCGGTATCTCAAGAGTACTTTCACTGGTCTTCAGCTGGTATGTGTAGTACTTCCTGGGAAGACCCCAGTCTATGGTAAGTAAAATTTTATATCTAAGAAAGTCATCTGTTCTTAACATTATGCAAACCTTAGGATAAACCAGTTTGTTGCTGTTTTGTAAAAATTATATTATTACTTTCTTCAGAGTGCATAATGCATTTGATAAATTCTATTAGAAAATTTTTTTACTGAAAACAATTTGTGTATATATCTCGGCTTTGCAGTTTTCCACAGCTGCTGCTTTTTAATTCTTGTACTTTTTTCTTTCATATACCTTGTATGTCATGTATCATGTAATCAGGCACTACTCTTTCCCTATAAAATCCAGTTGTGCTACCATCACATCATCCCACTAAACTTTCAAAGTATCTTTTCCATTTATTTCTAATCTCCTCTTTATTGTTAACATTCTCCCATCAAATTGCACGTGTTTTTGTGTAGCCTCTTACTAACCCTAGTTTTTGTTACAGCTGAAGTGAAGAGAGTGGGTGATACTGTTTTGGGTATGGCAACTCAATGTGTACAAGCCAAAAATGTTAACAAGACATCACCTCAAACATTATCCAACCTCTGCCTCAAGATCAATGTCAAGTTAGGAGGCATCAATTCTATTCTAGTCCCAGGCATTAGGTAAGAAATGCTAAAACATGATGACAGGCATGTACTGTATTTTAGCTGTTAAAAACAGTTATTGGTGTCCTTCAGAAGTATGTGTGTATCTTAATTTGTTATATTTAGGGACATGATCCAACTAAACTTTACAGTGTAAAGCCCAGTAACAGATTTTTATATAACAAGTAATTTTCTTTATTTAACTTAATTAAGATAGGCATAAATGGTCAGTATCCTTCTGGTGATCATATGAACTTGGCGCTGAATAAGCTAATCAGTTCTGCTACCTTCCATAGGCTCAGATTCAAGAATGATAAAAAAGAAGCTTGAATTTTTTCACATTGATAGAAAATAGAAAAGGCAGAAATAAAGTCTCAGAAGTGACACTACTGTTCTGAATTTGCTTATACAATAAGAATTTTCCAATTTTTTCCATAGACCTAAGGTGTTCAACGAGCCAGTAATCTTCCTTGGTGCAGATGTAACTCATCCACCAGCAGGGGATAACAAGAAACCGTCCATTGCAGCTGTAGTAGGTTCTATGGATGCTCATCCTTCTCGATACGCCGCAACAGTCCGGGTCCAGCAGCACAGACAGGTGGGTAATCCAGATGAATTTGTGTTTGTCATTTTTTGAGGAAACGGCAGAAGTAGGTAAACCATGAAAATGTGGAGGTAAGCGACAGAAATGAGGAGATAAGCTATGAAAATATGTGCAGGTAAGTGGCAGGAATAAGTAGATAAACTGAAAATGTAAGAGTAAATGGAGGAAATTAATGTTTAAACAGTACAAGTAACTGGTTGTGGTTAAAAAAAAAAAAAAAAAAAAAAAATTCATTCCTAGTAAAAAATTAAGCTTACTTGAATGGAGCTGAACCCCCCTATGATTCGGATTACCGAGTATAGATGGTAAACATTCTCTTACGTAGTAAGCAAATTTTGAATTCGATACCAAAAAAGTGAAAAGCCATATATTTGCACAATTGCAATGAATCTAAGCCCATTCAAAGTACTGTACATAATGATAGTCAAGTGAAACAAATTGTGATTGGTTAGGGCCATGTTAATTCTAGCTAATGGGAATTTTACAAGTATTAGATAACACATTAGATACCATGATTTTGGAAAAGCATTATTATTGAAATTGACCTAACATTAGATCAACAGTATTAAAGTTCATTCAAAATTAGATAAATATTATTGATATTGTCTAGATGTTAAATCAACAATTGCAATGTTGGTTCCATGTTGTTCACATTGTTTTGTTAATGAATTATTGTAAATGATGATGGGTAAAGAGTTCTGCTGCATTACAATAATTTAGAATATATTTGTGAAAGTTGAGTTAAGACAGTTATATTAATTTAGGTTTCATTAGGATAAAAACTAATATATATATATATATTTATATACATAGCATGCACGACTAATCAGTAGCACTTCATTTATTATATGAAATAAAAAATAATAAAAATCCTTAAGAAAAAAATATAAGTAATATTTTGTTTCTTGCTGTTCTATATTTCTTTTGAGAGAGGGTTTTAATTTTTTGGTATTCTCAGCAACATAGAGGGGATAAACCAGTCACAACTTTCATGTCCCTCAAATGTGTGTTCTAGTATACAGTTGACGTTGATAAGGTAACATCAGTATTATTATTACTGTTTCCCACTTTCATAGAGTTGGTAAGTAAAAATGGGGAACAATATAGAAAAAAGAATGCTAAATGTTTTGAAAAGTACTGCCAATCCATTAACTATATCTATTAACTACATAGGATCACGCAGAGTAACATCATCATTCAAGAAAATTATTTACAACAGTACCTCTACCACATAAGACTATTTATACCTTCTAAGTTTCTCATCTTTTGTCATTTAACAAAACACAAAATTTTCATAAACTACTACCACGAAGACAGCTTGCGCAATGCACGCACTACATCACGGAGGGTGGCAGTTGAAGAAATCTGATAGTGGGTGATAGTGATTTTTGGAATGGATATAACACCAGTATTAACAGTGAAGTCTCATATAGTGTAAATAGGATAACATCAGCAGTATACAGTACATTAAATTGGTTAACTTATATACAGTATTTTTTTTTTTTTTTTTTTTTTTCCAAATTTAAACAGATTCCTTCCAGTTAATATACTCTACTTATGTCATACCAGTTCTAGAATATGAAGCATCATCATAGAATGTTCACCTTTTTGAAATACAAGAAGAGTAAGAAATTTGAGTTAAAAAAATTGAAAACTCTGAGAAGATATGACCACAACAAACAGGGAACAGTCACTTTCCAAGAGAAAATGAAATGAGAAGATAGAGATAAAAACACTCATATGCAGTGAAATGAACTGGGAGATGGTGTTGTCACCACCATTCAAGAATTACAAGAGCAGGTTTGACAGAGCTAATGTGTTGGGAACATAATGCTCACTTGATTCACAACTGATAATTGAGCATTAATATTGAATGTAGTTTGCGATTCAATAACTATGAGGCAGGGCCCATAAGCCCTGGTAGGTAAGCCCATCATCATCTTGGCTTTCCTCTCCTAACACCCTTTATTTTTACTTTCTTGTATATATATACTTCACCAGTTATTCATCTCTTTATTCAGTATGACAAAATGATCCTGGTACACTTGCCTCATTCTTGCTATTTACAATTTTTCACCTTCATTAATCTCCTAACATACACATTGATATTTGTGAGGGAGTTTAAGATATTTACGCTTAAATTTGTAACTCATCCTCAAGATAAATTGCCAAAAACAAAACCATATCCAGTTTATTTATGAATGAAATTAGTTTTACATATTAATGCTCAATTTGTGAATCATAATAGCTACTCTCGCATGCCAATCCTCTCAGGTTTACATTCATCCCATCTTGTGCGACCTGCTCTTGCACTCGAAATTTCCATCTACACTGATCTCTAACAGTCAGTGTTTCTTGCTGTTTCTCATCAATTATGAGTTCAAGGATGCCAGCAACTGCACTAAGTTGAACTTGTGCTCCAAAATTGAAAAGGAAGGACATTCACTTGAAATCGAACTGAATATTTTCACGAGTTTACGAAAATGTTTGCAACAAAAATTTTTGGTCTGCGGCCGTTAACATTTTGTACTATACATAAGTAGTTGCAGTGTAGTGAGTCATGTGTTATATGAGAGTGTATTTCTATAATGACCTGTTCCTTGAGAAAGAGGCAAGCTTCACAATCAAGCATAAAAACTTAATTTAGTCCATCTGTAAGAGCCCCACTTTCTAGGTATCGAATATCTTCAATGACGTGTGCGCAAAGGTGATGTATCAAATTTGGCAAATGATAAAGCGTACGATGGTCAATATTGGCACCCCGGCTAGCATTCACCATGAATACAATATTTATGCCAGGCCTCTTCATGAACTGTGGGTTTTTCACATGTGGTAATTACAGTGCTCTCTAATATTACCAGTTTACTTGTTGTAATACTGTTTATTGATTATAGAAAAATTATTTGCGATGTAAGAGTGGTTGGTATGTGTGACCTTGTTTTTCCATCCAGGTTGGATGTACAGGAGGAGACTGGAAAAGGTGAAGTGGGAGGTGGAATCAGTAATGGATAACCTTGTTAGAAAAATGCAAGTGGCAGTAGCAGTATTTGCAATCATTTGCCTATTTTTAATCTAAATATCTGGGACATTTTGCAACAATTTTAGTTTTTAAATCCTACATTCTTGCAATCGTGGAATTAAACTTGAGAGCTGAGGTCGGAAAGGTAGAGGGTACGTTTAATGTGTACATCATGCAACATTAGCTTTTTTTTTTATATGCACTCGCATGAGATGGTGTGGGTTTGGGAGGTAGGGCAGATGAAGCAGGATGAAGATGTGTGATTCCCACCCATTTCCAGGGATGTTAATGAGTTGCACAATTTTCCTGGACTCCCCCGGGAACGCCTTGCCATTGTAAGTTTGGCATAGCTCATTATGATACACATACAATGAGTACAATACTTACTATTATCATCGTAAGCTGTTCTAGAGCTTTCTTTAACATTCTGCTTTCATTTAATGTTCAGTACCAAAAAGATTATGCATAACTATATTCAAGTAACAATTTCAGTTTAATGCTGAGATAAGAAGATAAACATACAGGTCGAATGGGCAGATATTTTCCTTCCTACCTTTAGGGATGGATTGAAAATGAAAGATGATGAGTTAGCTGGTCTTAAAGAACCATTCCAAGATTTTATTGCTTAAGGAAAGAGGATTAAAAATTGGTTAAAAGTACAAAAGTTTTATTATAACTGCAGCATCAGTTCTGTTTAGAAGTGATTTTGTTCTCTCATTGACCATTGGGCAAATTGTTGTCTAAGTGGCAGGGTCAAGAGTTGCTTAAATTAATGACAGCTAATTCATACAGCAAGATTTCATACATTTCTTTTTCCTATAAATGAATTGAACCATTGTTTACATTACCACCTAAATGCAGTGCAAACCTTTTACAGCAAGAGGCATTTTCATTTAATTAATTCGTATTATGAATTCATATAGTTTTCTTATGTTTACATAATAAATACTGAAGACTCGACTTTTATGGACTTTTATGTTGGTGAATGCTGAGAGTAGGGTATTTTGCAGTTCATTTTGTATTGAATCAGTATTGTGATTTGTCACTCAATGGCAATATAACATGGATGATTAAAAATGTCTGTTGTACTTCTATTGTGTTTCTTTTAGAATTGCACACAAACAGGAATGTGATAATAGTTTATAGTGTAGATTTTTTTTCTTTAATGCACAGGGTGACCACCAAGTCGTGCATCATTTTGAATCGTTGATTTTATTTGCTGTATTGTTTCGGGCAACAAAATGAGGTCAGTCAAACCCTGCTAGACATGACATTATTTGACTGATTTTGTTTATTACCCGAAACATTACTGTAAATATAATAAAATATAATATTTCCCTATGATGCTGAGTTGGACAGCCTGTAGTTTGCCAAATACCTCAGTAGATAAAGCATGGCTCTTCACTCCCTTTTCTTATATAAAGTTCATTTTAATTTATGTCGCTAGATATTGAAAACATTATACATTGTGTGGGATTCTATGGAATTACAAATATAAACAAAATATAAAGATGGGTTGACTCGTGTCTGTCTTCTGGATTTGCCACATGAAATACAAATGGTCTTTTGTTTCTGGATTATTATTAATATATTTTGTTTTTACAAATATATTGTAACAATTTTAAGATCTTTTAACAATAACCTGTTTTGGGATGTTAAATGAAACAGAATATTGATCTGAATATCTCATTGTGCAAATAAAGATTGGGAAATATTAAAAGTGCCATCGACAGTCTTCAGGATTGTGCGAACGATAAAGTACTGAAAAGAGGGATAGACTCGTATCAACAGTTTTTTTTTTTTTTTTTTAGTGAGGTGTGGGTAGAATTTTTTTCTATTAAATACTTCAATAAAATTATTGCATATAATCAGAACTAAGTCATAATCTGCATGGTTGTAGCAAACTGGCAGTTGGTCCTTCTCTTACATAGTTTAAGAACACCTCTATTTCCATTGAGCAAGTATCTTGAAGCGTTTTATTATTATTTTGCTTTTTTTGGGATATATTACATCATAGGTTATATTCTGCTGGTGTTGTAGTTTAATATTTACTGTTTGAGTTTAAGTATTTGAGAAAAGGTAGAGTTGAGTTAAATAAAAAAAATCCTTTAATGAACAACCATATAAACAATTGCGATCTTTTGTTGTCTATCTTATGAGGTTGTGAAAGTGAAAATTTTGTGTACATGAGCCCCAGTGTTGTTGTCATGGCATATTCTTTACTGATGATGAATATAATGCAAAAACATCCATAAATGATATGAAATTATTTAACCTAAGTATACAGATTAATAATCTTTGTAATTTTAATTTAAAAACCTCGATTTTAGAAAATTATAATTACCAGTTAAGTTCAATAAGCGTTGAATTTGCCATTGACAGAATGGATCAACAACACAAGGCCAAAGTGCCAGTGATGGCTCGCGACCAAGACAACTGACATTCGCGAGGACAGCACATGACGCAAGTATTTTTCCTTTTTTTAAACCCATTGGTAACATGATGATTTTTAGCTGCTTGTCAAAAAGATGTTTTTTCCTCCTACATAACAGATAACATGACCCTTATTGGCAGAATAATCTAAAATGTCATGGAAAGACCATTTTACTTTGTTGGCAAATCCAGAAAGCAAGCACCATTCAATTTTGGATACCCTTTTCCATTTTAAATATTGTCATTTAATGGTTAATTGCAAATTTTAGAGATTTCAGTTTTGTCATGTCTACTATTTTCTCAAAATAAATTTTTGATTAACAGTTCCCTGTTGCCACCAAGACCATAAAAGTTAGAAATGTAAATGCTGTTTTTCAGCAGTAACTAAAGTAATAATTTGTTCTACTCCATTTGTTCATTTTGCTTCAATAATTGTTTACTAGATGTAAATATGATTCCAGTTCTGTGCAGCATAAAATTAAATTTATCAAATAACCATTTCCTAACTAAAAGTGTAAAATTTTACTGTAAATAGAAGGTGGTAATCTTGTCATATTATAATTTACTGATTTATGACTAGAAAATAATTAGTTTTTCATCTGTTTACATAGTCTGACAAAGTACTTGTGTTAACAGGAGGTTATCCAAGAGTTATCTTCTATGGTCAAGGAGCTTCTTATACAGTTCTACAAGTCTACACGATTCAAGCCAAATCGAATTATTCTTTATCGTGATGGCGTAAGTGAGGGTCAATTCCAGACAGTGCTGCAGCATGAATTGACTGCCATGAGAGAGGCATGTATTAAACTAGAGGCAGACTACAAACCTGGCATCACTTACATTGCTGTGCAGAAGCGTCATCATACAAGGTTTGTATTATATACAAATATTTTATTTGTATAATGTTTAAAAAAAAGTGTTAAATGATTTCATTCAAGATATATCCATAACAGAAACAATCAAACAAGCTGTTATTAATTCTGTATCGCTCCATTCAGAGCAAGGATCGCTCTGCATGGAGGCTGGTTTGGCCATGAACAAGTTGGCACTGTGATTTGCAGTGATGGTCAGCATGCCCTGCTTTTTCAGCCTACACTCAAGCACCACTTTGTGATCTCATGTTTCCTCATAAATGTTGTTTTATGCAATTTTGGATTATACTCCTGTATAGTGGTTCCTTCCAAGACTCGCAACATATTTAAGTAAACCTAAAGATTCCCCCTCCCCCTAAGAAGAAATCTAAGGCAATATGATAGTCTTTTGAAGCTGGAGGCTGGAGATTATATCTCTAGTTGGACTATGGGTAAAATGTGACTAAACTGAGCTTACAGGTGGTTTAAAAACAAAAGTTCAAGTATCAGGTGGTACCAGGGTTATTTGACCAGGCCTCCTTGTTTAATAACGTGAGGTGGCAAGTGTTTTAGATAAATATTAAGTTTGCTTTTTACCACAATTAGAGGTGGTAATTCTTTGGCAACAGCAAGATTGAGAAATATTGTGAAAGACCAGAAAGAGACTCAACCCTTTATTCACTTGTATGTAAACTATGCAAAGACAATGGAGCGATGAACACTTGAAACCAGAACAGGGAACCACGTTTGCAGATGCAACTATACATCTGGGAAGTTGATCGCCAGCTGCCCATGTGTCTTGAAATGCTCATTGGTACTGTCCACTCGTACTACAGAAATGACAAAAGAGCTTATGATTGTGGTCTGCAGCAGAAGGGTTAAGCTGTATGTCAAGTGTCACCTTACAAATTAAGCATTGAGTAATGTTTAGTAATAGGATTTAAGAATTTTTTCACAAATAATTTTTTTTTTACTATTTACTTTCATTTTACTTGTGATCAGTTTCAGAGAATGTTATTTTTGCAGCCTGACTTGAGGTTGGGCTTCCCTGATACCTACCTGATGAACCAGGCTAATCCTGCTTCTGGCTCGAAGGATTATACCAATAGTTTGTCCATAAGTAACTTTGAGAAGGCTTAAGTTTATGCTTAAATTGTGCATAGAACAATATTCTGATTGGCATATGCATAGAGCAGAGGAAATAGTCTAATTGTTTTCATATTTTCCCATCAGGACACAAGTACTCCAATTAGATCCTATTAAAAGTATTGTGTAATTTTTTATGTCCATATTGTTTTCCAATTATCTGCATTTGCTTTCTTGCATCCAGATTGTTTTGTTCTGACAAGAAAGAGCAAAGTGGTAAAAGTGGTAATATCCCTGCTGGAACTACAGTTGATGTAGGCATCACACATCCAACAGAATTTGATTTTTATCTGTGTTCGCACCAAGGCATCCAGGTTAGTTAATGCATTTGTATGGCATTTAGCAATGCTTTAACTTACAGTGGATTTAGGTGGAAATTAATTTTTAGATGTTTAGTTTCATGGTAGGCCCTTAAAGCACAAGCCTTCTTTGTTTAAATTTTACTTAGAAGATTTACATTGTTTTACATTGTTATGCTTATCATTGCTGTCTTATAAAGTGAATCTTCAATAATCATTATATACTGTTTTACAATTATATACTATTTTAGTCAAAGTGTTCACTTGTGTTATGTTTTGGTTTAGGGACACTTAGTAGTCTGCTGAAATTTATTTTCACATTGTCCTAATAGTATCCATTATTTTTCTAACTATTGACCATTTGATGTTCCTTAATATCTTTACTTGTTCATTATTTTTTCTTTGTACCTGTCCATGCTTGCTGAGATGATCCTCAATCCTTCATCCATTAATTATTGTTTCCCAAGTGCTCCCATGGGGCAATTAAATAATATAATAGTCAAACCAGAATACACAATTCTGTAGCAGATGTATCAAGTATTTCTAACACGCTGAAACAAGGTCATCTTCACCAAAAAGGGAGAATCCAAGAGGACCAAGGTATCGATGGATGAAGGTAGAAGATCTCTCTCGAGGTGCATTGTTAACATACAGAAATATTGTGTACTATGTGTGTAATTTTTACACTGAGTAACAGTATGGGACATTATATCTATTAAAGAATATACAAGAGAGAGGCTTGAAATTATGAATGTTATTATTTACTTGGAAATATTTTTGAAAGAAAAATACAAAAAATTAAGAAGTTGAAAACGGACCAGGAGAAAAGAATAAGTGGCGCACTAAGGGCCTAAATGAATGAAAGTTTTAAGTGATGTGTGCAAGGAGTTTGTTTTAAATAAGTACGTAGACAGCATATTCTCTGTAGTGGATATGCTTGACCTTCATGAACTCGTTGATATGGACATAGAGAACAGTGCCATACTTCTAAATTAATACCAATATCAAACCAGTCACTTAAAATATTGTAAGGTCATATATGTAGTGTTTCATAATAAAAAAGGATTTAGGAGGTAATCATGACCAGGATTGATTTGTTTACCATCTGCAGTCATATTACTGGTATGTACTATTGCTTGATACCTCCCTATCCCACAAAAATGGAGATTTTGGGGTAATGTGTTTACAGCCACTTTTATCAATCAACTAAATTATCACAAATTATTCTTTCTGGGAAATCCTCTACAACTGTTCTATTTCTTTTTGTGCTATATCCTCTGATTATTCCGCATGTTTGATGGTGCTACACAGCCTTCCCGTTTTGGTGCCTTTTGATAATTACTTACTTTTTGTGCTATATGCCTTTTGCAGTGGACTTTTTTTTGGTGTATCTACTGGTATGTACTGAACTGCTCTCCCACCAGCATAACCAGTCATATTTGCATTTACATTTGTCATCTATTCCACATGTGATTTTCAAGTGCTATATCCACTTAAAATATGTAAAAAAAGATATACAGTACTTTTACACTGCCTGTAAATATTACATTTATCTTTGGTATTCTCATTGGCATTTCCAACCCTAAAGTTTGTATGGAAAAAAACATAAAAAAAGTTAAATTCTGAGAGTTTAAGAAGTACCTATTTACTGGAAATCCCTTGTTCTTCTATAGTCTTTCCTCCTGGACCTGTTATTCCTCCTGTTACCTTCCTTCTCGACTGGTATGTAGTTCGATGCGTGAGAGTATTGTCTAAGTAAATAAGTATGGTTAACATGTGATAGTCATGGAAAGGGAGTGAAGTTTGATGAAATTGAATGATTGTCCTCTTTTTTTTTTTTTTTACTGTAATTTGCACCTAAGCTATTAAACACATGAAATATTGCTGAAGAATGCTGTGTGTGTGTGTGTGTTGGTACTAGGGTAGGTCTTGTGTCACTGCCGAGTATGGAAAGCAATATTTTGGATTGGGTTATCACTGAATATCTGCCTTTATTGTGTTAAAATATTTTTACTTCCTCTACTGGTAGGCGTCTCCCCGTCCCAGAAGAATGGAAAATAGGGTAGAGTTCAAGATGACACTAAGGAGTTGCTTAACAGAAAGAGTATGTAAAACCAAGCTTAGCTATATATCCATATGTACAGTTCTGTTAGATTATTTTCAGGCTACAACTTTTTTCCTCTTCAACAGGGCACTAGTCGTCCAAGCCACTATCATGTATTGTGGGATGATAACCATTTTGATAGTGATGAACTGCAGTGCCTGACCTACCAGCTGTGCCATACATATGTTCGGTGTACTCGGTCAGTCTCCATACCTGCCCCAGCTTATTATGCCCACTTGGTAGCCTTCAGAGCACGTTATCATCTCGTCGAGAAAGAGCATGACAGGTGAGGTAGCTTTCTTTTAAAGGAAAAACTCGTATAAAAGAACTCGATCCGTGTACAAATTAGCTAATTGAAGTTTGCACTAGTCTGGCTACTTGACAAATCTTTTAAATAATGTAGTTACATTAGACTTTGTTATTCGCGTGGGATATAACACAGAACACACATGCGAGGTTAAAATTGAAATAATTTACTTATTTAATGCGGTCGATGAATAGTTTTATGCAGATTTGTGTGGCAATATAAGCAATTGCAATTGTCATGTTTTTCCTAATATTAAAAGTTACGTCAAATGCATAAATACTGAATTAAATTATATTTTACAAAATCGTATGTTTTAGCGGAAATTGTACTTCACTCGTAACACAACTAATGAAAATTTAAACTGTTTCACATTAAAATATATTATATTGTATAGTATTAAAATAATAGTTTTTGCCATACATACGTTATTTAAATTTAAATGCTGTAATAAAATTCACAGTTCTAGAATGCATCCTATTTTTCCAATAAGATCCTTAATTAAACATGCCCGGTAATTACTTGATGTGTGATATCTGGGAATGCATTCTCACGTTCAACCAATATAAATCGAATGAGAATTCTTATTTACCCACATAAATGATAGATTTTATTGATTATGATTGGGGGTTCAGGTAAATAACATAAATTGGCATAATGGAGCCGTGGGCAATTTCCTTGGAGGTAGTTCATTGGAAATGGTATGGGCATACTGAGCACACCCATTGGATGACAGGTTGGGTAAAATGGGTAAGGATAGCAAGGGGAAGACAGTGTAAAATGCAGTGAATAGTAACCATCCCATAAAAGAGAAATGTGATGGACTCGAACTCAAGACTGTAGTTTCCCCATGCCGACAGACTATCCACTCGGATAGTGTATCGGCATGGGAAACCAGTCGTGAGTTTCAGCCCATTACATTACTCTTATATTGAATTGTTACATTCATGCTGTTGTGAGTGTCAGCTTGTACAGTAAATAGTTTCTCACTGCCTGGTGCATTTTTTACATAAATGCAAGGGGAGTAAGTAACATAATAGAGATTCAGAAATATCTTGTCATGTAAAAGTGTGTTTGCATATACCAGTACTGTACATCACTTGATTTGGTACTTAATAGTAGAGCTCTAGATGGCAAATTTGCTTTTGAAAGTGTATTTTTTATAGTGTCTGTCAAACTTCAAAGTTTCTTTCCCAATCGGCAAATTCCCCAAAATTCATGTTTAAATTTCATCTTTTCTGGCGTAACTGTAATGAGCAATATAAATATTATGCCATGAAAAGTATGGCTAATGAGGGAAACCCCACCTACAAACCCTATTTTGGGGCTTGCAATAGTAAAGGATTTTGTGGCCTTAATGAGATACACAGATTAGGGTTAATTGTATTTTCCTAGTTTGATAACTAAACGTCATTTGTCTTTACTTCTAAACAGTGGAGAAGGATCTCACCAATCTGGTAATAGTGAGGACCGCACACCATCAGCAATGGCTCGAGCAGTGACAGTGCATGTTGACACTAACAGGGTGATGTACTTCGCTTAACTGTTTGTTCTACCTAGTCTGACTCAAGGTTCACATCATCATTGTGCAAGATGAAGTCACATGGACTGAATTGTGGACAAATCACACTGATTTACTTGTGGACAAGTCTTGTGTATTCATCTGCAGACATACTCGTCGATGCATCTCTATTGTGGTCAATTTTGAAAAATTATTTAATGAGTCTTGTTTGATTTAGATCTTCCATATATATGAAAGTTGTTCTAAGATTACTTAAGTTTTTACCCGTGAAATGATTGTTAGAAATCTCACTTTAACATTTACAGTTTATATCTGCTACTTTTCCTTTAAAAAGTAGTTGTGTATTTGATACTTGAATGACCATATTTATTATGAACTGACCTGATTCAGTTAACCTGAATCAATTGTTGTCCCCAATTTAGATTTGGGTTTAGTATTTTGGCGGCATTCCTTCAAGATATTTGAAATGGCAGAAGTTGTAGGCAAAGGTGTTGACCATTACAGTTTGTTATAGATATAATGGAACAGGTTTAATCCTACATTACAATTGGAAGTTACTATTAACATTTGTAAATCTGTTAAGTCACATGTTGGATGATTGTAATGTAGGAATCTTGTACCTGCAGCAAGTGGTGTAATGGTTATTAGATTGTACCTGCTGATGTACCTCATGCCAGCAATCATGGTGGCTTACATATAATATGCGATTTTAACATGTTAAGTCACTGTAAACTATTGCCAGAGTAACTTTAAATGTGTGTTTTCATTGCATTGTGATGCTGAAGATGAAAATATAAGGAGTAACCCACGTTTTGTATGTGTGCATTCATCTGGTGCACCAGGTCTCTCAAGTATGTTACTGTATAAATAACTTGTGCACACTAAGCAGCAATTATGAGGCTTTTTTATATGTACTATTGACATCTATTTTTCTGTGGTGAGAAATATAATAGTACACGTATCTTAAGCTTCAAAGTTACTGAACTCGATGTAGTTGGTGTTAACGAAGCCAGGAAATTCAAAGCCACTGTGACATGGGTTTTTAATTATTTAAGGTAAAAGACTCCTGCAGTCAAGTTTTTACTGCCATTTTTTTTTTATGGAGGGCCAGGAAACCCTCACACATATGTACCTTCATTTCGGAGGTGGTGCTGTGATCTCCCCAGGATACGGGGTGAATACTGTTTAGAAAAAAAAATATTATTTTGTAAATTTTAGACAGAGTTTCTCCTAGTGGCATTTTTTAATACAGATCTAATTGTCACTAAAAAAAAAATCCATGTTGAAATCTGACTTGATTATAATCTTCATAGCATTATTTACCCCCACCCCATCCTCCCCCATCACCAACACCTGGTATTACCTGTGTACTTCCTAGTCTTGGCCAGAACTGCAGGTTTTTGCTTCCAGTGTGATGTAGGCATTGTATTATTGTATTTGCATTACATTTTATTTGCATATTTGCAAAAACGTCTTTGTGTATTTTACGTTATTCACACATGGCTTACCATCAAACTGCAGGTAAATCTCGACAGTACTGGTCTGAAACCCTAACATGCATAAATGTCACAGATATGTATTAGGCACTAGTTTCCTATCAGGACAATATGTGACAGCATGTTTTGGTTCAAGCAACTGAACTTAACAATTCACAAAGAGCAGCCTGGGCTTGGGTGCCATATAATTATAATACAGCTCATGTGATGCCATGAGGCAAGGTGCAGCTACATTCTAATGCAGCAGTAAATGGCAACTCTACTCAACAAGATCAGATGCAGAATCCCAGTCTTCCTGAATGTAGTTACCAAAGCCCACAAGTAGTAAAAATGCAGAGTAGAGTTAACTTTGTCTTACACAAATTAATTTAATATGAAGTTATTGGGTCCATTAATTAAAGTATTTTAGAGGTTTTGTATGCATTTGAGATGTAATCTGCATAAAAATGCAGTAAGAATAACATGCTGGGCATGTGAGTTCAAACTTAATGTTTTACAGGGAGATCAAAGCTATGTAATATGAAGTGCAAGGCAATTGAGCACTTCCCTCAAGATTGGTAGTTCTAAAGACAGACTTTATTGTTGTGATGCTGCATAATTTAGAAAAATACTTAACTTTCTTTGTTTCTTCAGCTAACCACATTCCATCCATATTGGATGGGAGGATTGGCAATTTTATCTGTAAAACTCTTGAAATGTTTACATAAAAATTGGCTCCATAGACAAAAAAAAAAAGTCAATCTTTTCAGCAAGAGCTTTTGAAACTGGCATAGTCATACTAATGTGATGATCAGTATAGCTGCGTCCACTAAGGTCTGGTAGCAAGTCCTTACAGTGTTCATTTGAAATATTTCGTCCAGGTATTATGGGGCTTATCCGGGTTGTCTGGTTGGCAATAATCTATAGCTACTGCCATATTTTATTATTATTATGATTATTCAGTTACTCAGATGGTAATGACACCTCTTTCAATTGTTCATTAATTTTTAAGTATACTTGCCAAAATGACATTACTTAAATTTTAAAAGTGGTGTCTTTCAATTTGTGTGGTGGAAACTAGCCTGCAGACTTAGCTCAAGAATATTAACACCCACAAAGAGAAAGTTATACTAAATTGGTTTGATTCAATGAGGTTTTGCACTAAAAAAAAAATAAAAAAAAGGTAACCCGGACCCCAGTACCCTGATAGTTTTATAAAAGGGCAGTTCAGCTTCTTCCAACCTCTATGCAACAGTAGTCATAGAGATTGTAGGGTTTTAAAAGTCTTCAATAAGTCCCTTTCCTTCTCCAGTGCAGCAAAATCAGTCATTATATTAAATGGGCCCCTTGCCAATTCTCTCTCTTGCTTAATTTTGTCACAATATTGTGAAGGTGATATCTGTGAGCTTGTGGGTAATTAATTATATAGTTTGCCTTTCTTTGTGGGAGAGTTCATGTTTTGCATTAGATTTTGTGCTGCTCTCAATATTTTTTTTTGTTCTGGGTGTGACCAAAGATTGAGGATGCAGTTGTTACTTTGTACATTAAAAGGTGTTTTTACAATTTGTTTGATTTTAATTGGATCAAGGCATTAACTAATTAGAATAGCATTTGTCTAGCATTAAGTGGACAATCGTAAGTGAAACACAAAATGGCGGATCATTTTAGTGAATTAGTACAGACCAGAAACAAAAGCTTTAGTGTCTGATACAATGTTTCTGTAGATTTTATAACATTGTTTACATCAAAGTAAAGTTTTCATTCATTTTAGCTTAGATATAAGTGGACAGTGTTACAAATTTGTACTATATATTTTTTTCTTGTAATTTGGCATTGGTATGTCTTTAAATGTTGTCTGTATCATTTACAAATTTGTGGAGGTTTTCATAGTTGTATGAGCAAAAGTTAGCTTACAGAATCCCAAATATTACCCCTTTGCTTACCAAAGGGGGTATTGTTACTTGAGTGAGAAACCTTGTACAGTCGCATCAGAGACTGCTAATGCAATGCCATTTTTCTCGTCGCTTTTTATTGTAGGAAGTGATCACCACATCCCACATTTTTAAATTGACCATCAAACAATTCTGTGTAATGCAGATTCATGTTTTTAAGAATATACACAGACAGTACATAAACACTTGCTCTAAATTTTTTGCTTTTGTCTATCTCATACCTCTCTCTCTCTCTCTCCTATTTTTTCTTTCTTTCTTTCTCTCACTTTCTCTTTCTTTCTCTATCTTTCTATCTTTCTCTTTCTATCTTTCTTTCTCTCTCTCTCTGCTCTTTCTTTTTATCTTTCTCTCTTTCTCTTTCTTTCTCTTTTTCTCTTTCTCTTTTTCTCTTTGTTTCTCTCTCTCTCTCTCTCTCTTTTTTTCTTTCTTTCCCCTCCCTCCTCCCCTTCCTATCCTTCCCTCCCTCCCTCCCTCCCTCTCTCTTCTTCATTCTTCTCTCCTTTCTTCTCTCTCTTCACATTCTTTCATTTTCAACTTTGTGCTAGCCAAAAAGTGAGGCTCAAGAGCTTGATATCACTCCCCACACAAAGGTATACACACTTCACACACTATAAAACCAGCCTTAAATGCTCAACCATTGTAAGTTAAATATACAGTACAGTATATTGAAATAAATTTTTCATAAAAACTACATTTTTTGTACTTTTGTCTGTTTACGTATAATATGATGGACCTTGCAGAATTATGTTGGTTTTATCGTGTTCCTTTCCAGCAATAATCATAATAGCACTTCACACATGCAGACTGCTTAACACTTTTGTGTTTCGAGGGTGCTGCTCATCGTTGTTCAAAGTGAACCTCACCCTTTGGCCTCTTGCTCAGCCTGACATTACATGCTTATGCTCAATTTATGTTTGCAAATTTTTTTTTTTTTTTTTTTATAGAATTAGAATATTTATTTTGTATCTAAATGGTCAGAAGTAAATATTAAGCATAGGCACAATGAATTTGATAAATAATGTTTAGTATGAAAGGTGCCTCTGAGTTTATAATAGTTATCATTTCTGTATTGTGCACCTATTTATTGTCATGCATATAAGATGCGGGTCTGTTGCTGAACAGGGGGCCGCTAATAGGTAGTCTCCTGCACGGGAACTGCCACCACTACGAGTCGAGCGATCTCCCATGGTGGTGGTGCATCATTTAGACATGCTGCGGCTGCAGTTTATGATGGTCAGTCCTGGCTGGTCTGCTCTTTTAGATGCGTGTGTGTGTGTGTGTGTGTGGTCTGCATGTGTGTGAGGATGTATATGTACATAAATATATACATACAGTATGTATGTATATGTAGTATGAATTTATAAGCGTACCTAATAGCCAGGCTGCCTAAGAAGAATATTCTTTTAGATTTTTGGGGGGTTGGAGCAAAACTTATAAATTTGATGATTATTTCTTGGTGCTGCTAGGTAAAGGTAAAGCTAGGCCTTGTAACATTGGAAATTAATTTTGTGAATATAGTGTTGTGTGTTCGTATTAGGGGTGAAATAATTTCAAAAGAAATACAAAATATGCCAAATTGCTCTGGATGTTAGGCAAGACAGGCTTTGCTTACTAGGCCAAGTAGTGTGATTCTGGCTATTAGATATGCACACACATGCATAAGCATACATATATATGCAGGAAGAACTGATGTCTTTTTTTTTGTTTTGTTTTATTTTTATAATATGGGATCCTTTGTATAGTACTTTCGAAACAATTGACAAATTAATTAATGTTAAACGTTGAAAATTAATTATAATTTGTGCACGTCCGGGACCATCAACTAAGCAGTGCAATAATTTAAGCTTACACTTGCATTTTGTTTGCAAAATTTTATAGGCTTAGACCCTTGATTTTGGTATCGTTATGCTCGGAAATAAATGTTCTTGAATGTATCGGTAGCAGCAAATAATTAATTACCATTGGTTAGTGATGTTGTTTTATATTGGATGATGTACTAGTGCATCATTAAACTCACAAGGTAATTGTAGCGAATGAGACATTTATGCATCATCGGAACACGAAAGTGCTAGTACAGTATCAACAAATGTAGTTCTTAGAATGTGGGCAGTCTTCATTGATCTTCATAGAGTTTTGGCCAACATATCATTAATTTTAATTTTTGAGGGTTTTCTCATTTATTTGCTTTTCAGCCAGTAGAGGTTTATAATTTTTTAGGCTTTATAATTTTATGTATTTTAGGTGTAATGCAAAAAAAAATTAAATATTGAAATAATAATAGTATCCATAATTAAATGTTTGCTGTGTAGTTGTGTGCTTGACTGGTTAATTTCCTTGGCACTAAAACGGCATTCCGCCACTCAACTGGTAAATGGATTTCCAGGACAATTTTCGTAGTTAATATAATTGCTTGGCATGTAAATGGAGATTATTTCCCTAATGTTTATAATAGTTAAACTTCATGTAACACTATTTGAAGTGACAATGCTAAGGATGATATTTCCATTCTTAAGAATTATAGATGTACCAATTTTAAGATAGCTAGGGCATTTTGGATTTCTGGATAAGCTCATGTGTTCACTCCTTGGAAGAACCAAAGACCAAGCAAGTGGGGGCTTCTGTGGTAATGTTGAAATTAAGATCTTGTAATTTTAATATTTGAAATTCAGTTTCCATACCACATTTGTATGCTTGTAGCATTCACTTTCTGGTACATAATTTGATTAATTACTAAAAATGTAAATTATAAATATTCTTTAATAGCATATGCCTATAAAAATTTATAAGAGGATAAATGGTATTTTTTTAGGCAGTAGTGTTATAATATTTGCCTAATTCTGCTTTTGACTGTAACTTACAATATGCAGGAAAAATGCTTTTTAACTGATTGACGTGATATTTCCTTTCCATCATTAAGGGAATTTTCAAAGATCTTTTTGTACATCTGCAGTCTTACTTGGTATTGAAATTTTGGTAAACGAGGTGGAAACTGACATTCTCTAAACTCTCCTCTTCACTCGTGTTCCCTAGATTTTTTTTTTTTTTTTGTGTGTGTGTGTGTTTGGGTGTGTACCAAATGTGAACATAATTGAAGTATTCTTGCAGCTGTTATGTGGTTGACACTAGTGGTTGATTCTAATCTTTACATGGTGGATATGCAATGGTTTTATTCTTTGAGGTGGAGGGGCACAGGTGGAGGTGGGAACAATCAGGTTAGTGACTACTTTCCACCTCCACCTAGTAGTGCCTTGAACCACGTGTTATCTTTCAGCTGGTGTGTCAGATGCTGCTTGTTCTCTCGAAGTTTGCGTGTAAACATGAGTTTTTATTGTGGTTTAACAGGTATCTATTGTATTTATACACTTTATATATCAGAGAAATCTTCAGATGTTTTATTTGTGACAGGCAATAAAGTTTGCACTGTTATGTATCTAATGTGGCCATGAAACTAGCTTTATGTTGATGATTATTAATATAAAAGTTATTATAGTTTACCTTTTCTAATTCTATATTAACATTCCCACAGGACAGATAAGTCAAATTGCATTATTTACTGTATTTATAATTTTCCCATTCAGTGTCCATTACAAACATGTGGTGATAAATAACCAAATAGACAGACATGTGCTGTAGTATACAGTGATTTGGTGCTGATGTTCATGTGTAATGCATCATTTGTTATTAAAAAAAATTCCCCAGTAATAACAACAATTGAGTAATTGCTCGTACCTTGCTTCATTTTGAAATAAATGTTAGAGATGAAAATTTATGTAAGAATATAGACTTTAGTTTTGTGTATACAAGAACTTTGCAGGGACATTTTATGTTCAATCTTATGTGATTAATTTCTGTTAATCCATTTTTCCAGCAAACATCATCCACACGATTTAAATTAATATTTTTCATTTTTTTTTTTTTTTACTTTTAACATGTTTGTGTGTGGTGATTATTTTTATAAAGGCAATAAATGTGGAGATATTTTCTTCTGTAAAAAATGTACTACAGCTCCTAAAATTTAGTATACTGTACAGCATTTCTGAATCTCCGACCAAACAAGCAATATTTAAGGTTTCGCTGCTATCATCTTGAGTCTCACCTGGTTTCAAAATATATATTTCATTTTGAATCCTAACAAAATGTGACAAAAACATTGTGTAGATGAGTGCTTTAGTAATGTCTAAAATAGTCATTATAGCCCTTTAATGCATTTATGACTAAAATTTTAAATAAAAATCTAATGGCACCATTCAGTTGAGTAGGTCCATGGCATATACAATGGTTATGAGCAGCATGTCCTGTGCCCCCACTCTCACATATCCTGCCACTGATGTAACATATCGCAGTCACAAGATATCATTTAGAATAGCGACACTACCAGCAACACAAAGCAATATGCAGTTAGAGACTAGTCTCGAGTCAAACCCTAAAATCTTGTTCATTTATAGTCGACAAAATATTTATTGTTATCTTTTGTCTGAAATACCTTTATTTATTTTTACTACAAATTGAAAGTTGTACAACTACCTGAAATGTAGAACAAAGGGATCTTGACACAATTTGCCTCATGGCTCATCATATCTCTGTATTCACTTTGCTGAAGCGATAAGGACTTTCATATTCCAGAGGTCACGTTACGTTTGTTCAGTGTAATGGGAATTTGATTGCAATTGCTTAAATATTGGTCATATTTAAAAAAAAATCCTTCTACAACATTTTTTGTATACAGTACGTATATCATTTATAGGCTGGTGAATAATTCATGTAGAATGGTTTAGTGTTTTTCTCATAATCTTAATACAGTTTTATGAACCATATAGGCAGGTAGTTTTGCACTTGCTATGCTTTAGATGTTAAGAATGGTGTATAATTTATGTATTTCATTTTCCACCAAATTCGATTATAGGATTTGAAAAGGTAATGAGCTGTTCATTTTCTAAATTGACTTCAACTTGCTCACAAGGAAAGGTACAATGTGTGCATGAAGGCTTACTACTTACTGTATAGGTCAATGAGTAAAAGGGCTTTGATTTAATCTTATTCCTTTATGAATATCTTCCTGCAGGCCATATCCAGCAAATAATATTTATTTGAAAATTAACCATATCTCAATGAATAACATATATCATTCCAGATAATAAGTGTGTGTGTGTGTGTGTGTATTCTGTATTTCCAGTGTTGTAGTATTTTCTCTAATAATTTTATTTGATTACTTAGTAGCATATCATAAAGTTTCTATAGTCGTTTCTTACATATCATCTGATTTATATGCGAGGTTATAAAACAACCCCACAGCAGTCATTCTAAGAAATACTCTTTTGACTTGAGCATTAAGGTTGGGCACAGGATATGGTGGTTTTGAAGCGGGATATAAATAAAAATTGTTTCTTTTTTTTGTTTGTTTTTATTACCTAACTAAAAGTTTACTGGAAAAATATTTCTACCTATATTTGGCGTACAGGTAGTTTTAGATTTAGATGGAGGACCTCATCTAGGACTAGTCTACCTGTACTTGGAATATTTACTCAGATATGTTACTACTATTCATTGTGTTCTTATGAATGAAAATGACTAAATGTAACATAAAACTTAAGAAATCTTAACTCAAAGTGCCTTTGGAGTTTTTACCCAGTCCCCCCATCACCATATCACCGGAACTCAAAGCAGTGGATGATGCCTTGATGTGGTGAGGGGGCTCCTGTGCACCATCTGCAGGTAAGAGTTTATGGCTGCTGCTCTTCTCCTTTCTGATTGTGCCCCTCCTGCGGACATTTTGCCATTCTTGAATATTCTTTCCGATGTCTTGTTTTGAAACTGATGTTTGGGGAGGTGCGCGCGCACGCCCATAACACTGGTACCCGACGTCGAACGAGGGAACACTGTCAATCTTTGCCTTCATTGCTGAGCCCGATCTTGACGGACTGGCAGTTGCAAGGTATTTATCCACAATGCCTCCAGTAGATTTAAGACAGTTGAGTTTTGCTGGGTTCCCAGCCATATTCGTGTCTTTATATGAGCGTGCGGACGCTGCCGCTAAGGAAGATATCCGCGCTTGTCCCATCTCTCATAAAGGTATTCCTTACTCTGACTTTTACCCAGTTATTCATTCCTCCATCCTTGCCCGTTGGCAGGGCTGTTGGTCTTCTGTTACTGGTAACAAACTGTGTACTCTTAAGTACTGTGTCCCTGTGGCCTTCCAACTACCACTGTAACCGGCGGTGGGAAACGGCTCTGACAAGGCTGCGTATTGGCCATACGCACTTACGGACACTTAATAGAGCGCCTCTCGGCTCCTTATTGTCCTATTGCATTGGCCCTCTTACAGTTGTGCATATCGTTGTTGAATGTCCTGACTGCCAGGACGCACGTGTATGTCTTGCTTTTCACCGTCCCTCTCGGTCACTTTTCCCTCGATAGAATTCTTGGTGAATCTGATACTTTTGACATCGTTCGCTTTATGCGTTTATGTTCTCTTATTGGCATCCTTAGAAATATTTAGTGCCCTCTGATTATTCCGCACATTTGACGGTGCTACATAGCCTTCTTTGATAATTACTTATCCACAATGCACCCTTGCATCCCCCCCCCCCCCATCTTGTCGGGTGTCCTATCTGCTAATTGTGGCTCCATCGTAGGTATAGGGGCTTATTTGTGGATTAAATTGTTACCTTTTCATTTATATGCCAATATCTGGCCCTCTCTTTAGCTTCTCAGGGTCGTAGGGTGGGCGACCAGGCCTCGAGTCAGACAGTTGGAAGGCTGGGCTCTGTAGGCCCCACTACATTGGGCCCTGACCAGGCTGCTTTCCCGACTAACCCTCTCTGCTCCCACCTCTGTCGCAGGGTTATGCCCCAAGCCACTAGTGGTGACCACCTCATCACCTAGAGTGGCTTCATCTCTCACTGTAACAACTGCACCTTTTACTGGAGGGTGCTCGGCGCCGTCAACTCTGCACTAGCATGATTCCTTCTGGTTCTAATACTTTCCAATCATGGTTCTGAAGTCCTTTAATCCAGTCCATCCTGTGGTAGTCGAGATTCAACATTAGCTGTTTCTTATCTTCAGTAGATTTAAGACTGGAGTTTTCCCTGGGTTCCCAGCCTATTGGTGTATCCCTAAATGAGAGTGCGGACGCAGCCGCTAAGGAAGCTATCCGCACTTGTCCCATCTCCTGTAATATAATACATTTATATTATTATATATTTTGCTTATTCCGACTTTTACCCAGAAATTCATTCCTCCATCCTTATCCATTGGCAGGGTTGTTGGTCTTCTGTTACTGGTAACAAACTGCGTACTCTTAAGAGTAGTGTGACCCTGTAGCCATTCTCCTACCCGTAACCGGCAGTGGGAAACGGCTCTGGCAAGGTTGCATATTGGTCAATACACGTTTAACTCGCGGGCACTTAATGAAGCGCTTCCCTGCTCATTATTTTCCCCTTAATTTAATCGTTGGGAGCGGCGAAGGGAAGGGTGAGGTGATTGTTACCTGACAGCTTCTAGCTGTCCGCCAGGTCTTCCATCTTCTCTGGATCAATGGAGGACAATCGAACAACTGTATGCTCAAATTCGAATTCATTTGTTTGTTGATTACTGGTATCAGCTCCCAAATGATCACAGCCTTAAGTATACGATCGTCGGTGCGTGTGATTACTGTCGTATCTTTCACTATGTCTTGGCGATTCAGGATGGTGTTGTGCACGGGAGAGATATATCCCGTCACCCAGGGTGCAGTCGCACCTCCACAGATCTCCAGTATCGGCTAATGATACTGACAATGGCTCAAAAGGGCCACCACTTACGGGCTATTCATGCCCGTGCCACCTTTTGGGTGGCTTAATCTTCATCAATCAATCAATGGTGTTGTGGTATTGAGAATGGTGTTGCTTAATTCCTCCGTTTTAAAAATGAAGTATAAGACGTCTAGTCAATGTATTCGTGGCATGTGATATGTAGCATATATTTCGGAGCACACAGTCTCCAGAGCTGCATTTGTATTAATACACAACATTAGTACACCTCAGGTTGTCAGAGGAGGCAGAGATGTTACTTCTCATAATGAGAGAAGATGTACGAGGGTTGTTATAATAAATGACAGGATGAATCCTTGCACTTTCACTGCAAGGTTTGCAATTCCTGTCAATTATGTCTCGTATCACCCCTCTCATCCTTGTATGCCTGAGTGAACGTATTTTTAAAATACACTACATTTTCTTATCTTGGGGACCGATTTTCAACCCCTGGGGCCTGATTATCCTCAGTCAGATGGCGACCTAGCATTACGATTTCGTCGAATTCTTTATTGCTATAATCGTTGTTCACAACAATTTAGCAGATTCGTTCAAGTTTGTGGTGCAAGAGTGTCATTTATTATAACAACCCTTGTACATCTTCCCTCATTATAAGAAGTATCATCTCTGCCTCCTCTGACAACCTGAGGTGTACTAATGTTGTGTATCAATACAAATGCAGCTCTGGAGACTGGGTGCTCCGTAATATATGCTACATTGATTAGACGTCAAGCTTACACTTAAGCTTTACGGGTTAGCGGGGCAGCCAGAGGCTTAGGGCCCATGCAGGAATTTCCCTTCAAAAAAAAAAAAAAAAAAAAAAAAACGAACTATTCATGCCCGTGCCACCACTTGGGTGGCTTAATTTTCATCAATCAATCTTGTAAGCTCAGTATACCTGTGTTAGTTCAACAGTGTACTCCTGAAGATATCACATTGCTGACGAAACGTCGAGAAATACAAATTGAAAGATTAAGTGATATAGTGTTTCTTCACCTCCAGATGGTAGAAGATATTTGCGTAGAATGGAAAATATCCAAAAGAAAATTAATATTAGTCACAATGTATATATGTATATATATATATATATATATATATATATATATATATATATATATATATATATATATATATATATATATATATATATTAAAGGGTACTACTTATGGTGCAATTGTAGGGACCCATAGCCTCAAAGAAGAAAATAAAGAGTATTCAGAGAAGACCTTGCGGATTCTCACTGAACATAAGGGGCATAACTGGCCGACCCCTCACAGTGTTCAAGAGAGAACTGGATAAGCACCTCCAAAGGATACCTGATCAACCAGGCTGTGACTCATACGTCAGGCTGCAAGCAGCCGCGTCCAACAGCCTGGTTGATCAGTCCGGCAACCAGGAAGCCTGGTCGACGACCGGGCCGCGGGGACGCTAAGCCCCGGAAGCACCTCAAGGTAACCTCAAGGTAAGGTAACACTTAAATGTTATCTTCTCCTTCAACCCCTATTTTTTTTTTTAATTTTATTACATTGTGTTACAGTTTACAGGAAAACACCTACACATAACAATAACTGTTCGAAGATCTCATCCAGCTCTTTGGATGTGGAGTGGGTGCCCAAGATACAACAAACATTTCCTCTCTGGATCGTGACACTGAGGCGCTGAAACGAGAAACTGACCGTTCTTGAATCTTTAGTTTGCCTAATGAGTTATATATATATATATATATATATATATATATATATATATATATATATATATATATATATATTACTGACATTACACTTGTATCCATACAAATTTCTTGCACTCGATGTTGCCAGCTGCATATTCAAGGCGGAGTTTTTGGTGGTGAGTGATGTTATAGGTAGACCCCACGACCAACCAGTGGGCCGTAACCCCACGCTGCCGCAGACCCTCCAGCCACCGTTCACACCCATCAGCACCCAACTCACTTCGTCGCAGAACTAAGCGACTGTAGGTTTTGTGCATGGCCTTGGCAATATCACATGCCCACTCAACAGTATCTTCAGTAATTTTCCATATATCCACAGAAAGAGAAATTGTTCTTCCGGAGATAGCGAGGGAGGGAATTGTTCTGGGATCCGTAGTTGCAGAAGCATCCAAGTTAAGGTATAACATTTGTAGGTCTAAAAGCGAAGGAAGAGTAGCATTAAGAGGTTCCAGCATATCTGGGGTGACGTGGATGGCTAACCTTCTGACGGTGGCTGGTAGTCTAGTGATGGCCGAGGCACTCAGGCGTCCAGCAAAGTGTTCCAGCTTGCATAGCGACTCTCTACTCGACACAGTTTTCAAAAACTCGTCCGAAAATTTTTCTTTCTCTGACCAAAATTGTTGATATAGATGCAGTGACAGTCTCATCTCAGGAGAGCCTGCACAGACTCTCAAAACATTCTGTAGATGTGGATAGTTCTGAGGACTCTTGGTAGCAACAAGAGATAGATGGTGTGGCTTAGTTTCCTTGATAATGTTAACTAAGGTGGAAGTTATAGCGAAATCTTCCACCTCCCATTCACCACCCATTTCTTTTAATATAATTCCTTTAATTGTTTTCTCTTCCTTTGCTTCCTCGATATATTCCATCCACTGTGATGCTTTCTTTACCCCTAAATCTTTCAAAAGACAAACAATTTCATCAGCCCTAGTTTTTAGCTGGCACGGTAAGAGCATAGCCAACATTCCCACTAGGTACTTCACCATTGACTGCAAACTGGGACCATGTGCTTCACCAATACCACACGATGGTAGTCGCAAGATATTGCGAATGGTTGTAGAAGGCAAAGCTTCCCTCAGCTTCTGGGTGACAGACCAAGCAGCGTAATATTGTAGGGTAGACCGTCTGGGAAAAGACACCTTACGACTCCTGGTAAGGCTGCCAACATACTCCTCTGTGTAACTCATAAAAGCCGAAATCAAATATGCCTCTGGCAGTTTTAACTTCTCACAGTCTACAGCCAGACTTATCAGATGCTCGGGGTCAATGCTGAATTTTCCGCTCCGCAAGCACTCTGCTGCCACTCCTGTCAGTGAAATCAAAAATTTCCGAAGATTTATTCTAATGACAGTTTGTGTGCTTATGGCAGACAGTGATGAGGTTGTTATCGTTTGTAGAACTTTATGTATAAGAAGATCTTCCACTAACATGAAAATTTCTGTGACAGTGGACGATGCGTTGAGGCGATCAGGAGCAAAGGCCCAGCTCAAGGTAAGTAGACTAAGGATCTCCGGTGATCTGAGATGTTCCTGTAAGTACGGCCGCTTAGACTTTATGAGCTGGAGAAGCTTAGCCTCTCTGTCATGGTCACTAGTGTTGCCGGGGAAAACATAATTCATAGTTTGTTGTACGAAGGGAAAAGTTTGGTCGTCTGGTATACCTTCAATCTCCAAAAGCATTGTCCTTTTGTGTATGGCTGATAATTTTCTTATGATGCCTTTAGCCGATTCTCGAGAAACTGTGGCTAAAATTCGGGTACCAGGCGACATCACCCTTAAAAAGTCCTCGAATATCGAGAAAGATTGCTTTAATTCATCAATGTCATCTAATATTACAAGTAAATCAAGCGAGAGAAGAGTGCGCTGAAACTGGGATTCTTGTAATATGGCTGCCGTGCGAGGCAGAAGAAAAGCCATCATTGCCTCTAGAGAAGAAAACATTGCATTACGACATTCCAAGAAAAGAATCAAATCGAAGTTGTCAATCTTTCCCAGTGTGCATGAATTATTTATTCCTCTGTCTAATATAAATTTCAGTAAGGTTGTTTTTCCCATCCCACTCAAAGCTGAAAACAAAGTTACCTGAGGTAACGTTCCATCACACTCCGTTGCCTGCAGAACGTCACATACGGACACGTAGCTTTCTTCTCTCGACAATTGTCTTTGCATTATCTGCGTTTCGTCCCGTCTTAGACAAGGGTATATGAACACTTTGTCAACAGTCACAGTCCGTCCTTCCATCAGCCAGGGAGCCACACTCACTTGACAAATACCATTAATAATTGTCTTTAATTCATTTCCTCCTTCTTCAATCAGGCGGGCTCTACGGCTTGCTAATAATTCTTTCTGGTACTCAGCTTCTGTTTCCAAGGGCACAGGAGAGTCTTTGATTGCATCTAATTGGCGGTTAATGGACTCCAACAAGTCATTCACCTTAGAATTGTCTACGGAAAATTTGTGCCCAGCTTTCTTAAGTGTTTTGGTGAACAATGTTCTCAGCGCATCTAGTTCGTCTGCTAACTGATTTGGTGAAAAGTGTATATTTTCGTGAGCTAATTTATTTCTCCTCTCCTTGATGGCATAGAGGCAATATTCCAATGAGTCTGAAGCTTCATTTGTCCATACGGAGTCGGCAGCATCACTCAACCCACACACTAACTGTAACAAACTATAGGTTAAGGTGATATCAAACTCGGACACTTTTCCATGTGTGATTTTTTCACGTTGGGAGGCCTTAAAGTCCTTGCGGAACTTAGCATTTGTGTAATTGGAAAGAGTAAAGAGGGCGTCCCTTACACTGCCTGAGCCTCCAATAAAGCCCCACGAGAACACCTGAGATAAAACTTGCTGCCCCACCCTCTTGAGGCTGAGGGTGTACTTAAGGTGGTTGTAGTCCTCCAGGTGAACACCTTCCGAGGGAAGAGACGTCCCCATCTCCGCAAGCGCCGTGTCTGAAACAGTGAGTGTGTGCTCATCATATATCCGGACCTCAGCTTAGCTTATTACTATCGTTAAAACGAAAGCAACAAATCCCTTTTAATCCACCACGTCCGTTCGGCAAATCTTCGGTAGTCGAAATACTTGTATTTTTGGCCAGAATTTATCAAAGGTGTCTCAATGACCGGTATGGTATCGGTTATAATGACTGGACATGATAGGTAATTCTACATGTCAACAGCAAAGGGTAATTTTGATTGTTAATTTTGATATATAATGCGACGTTTGATTTTTCTTATAAATTTTAAAAATCTTTAGCTTCTTGGTGTAATTTTACTGTTAGCCCTTTGTAAAACTCGATTATATCTTCACGTTTGGTAGAAAATACTCATAATGAGAGTGTACTTTATTTAGAGATAACGTTAAATAATGTGCACAAAACATCCACTACAATGTGTTGTACTTGAGTACTGAAGTCCTTGGCCTATACACATAGTCTCTTCTATGGGTATAGTCCAAGGAACATTCCCTCATTTTTACTAGTTATGCTGACACTGTCTCTCTGAAGGTGAATTGGGTTTGATGATGTGCTTCCAAATAAGATGTATATAGTTGGTCTTTTTCATGTTTAGTGTGAGTTTGTTGGTCGACATCCATAAGTGGACATTTTTTAATTTTTTATTTGGAATATTATATAGAGTATGTGGGTTGGGGTTAGAGCAGATGAAGGTAGTATCGTCAGCAAATAGTATAGGCTTAAGAACATTAGAGACATTTGGCAAGTCATTGATATATATAATAGAAGAGGTCCTAGGATGCTGCCTTGTGGCACTTCTATGGTTAATGTTAGAGTAGGAGAGCTTATATTATTGATGGCTACATATTGGTGTCTGTTATTAAGAGATGATCGAATATAGTTCAGAGGAAGGACTCTGATTCCATAATGAAGATTAAGTTAGTGATAGTTATGGTTTAGAGCATCAAAGTCTAGTCGTAACACAACCATTTACTGCAACTTCAAGAGCAAAGTATTTTAATTTATTTGCATAGCCAAACTTTTACTGTGTCCGAAGCCAAAGATCACAAGTGACTGAGACAATTATGGTTTGTCAAGAGGATGAAGAGAGATAACAAATGAGTCGGAAGCAATAATTGAAGCAATTGATGGTCTCAATTGATGGTCTGATGGTCTAACAGATGATTTTAAGTAGGTAAATTCTAGCAGAATTAATAAAATGATAACAAATACATTGCAAGAAAAAAATGAGATGAGAGATTAGAAAATATTATTAGATATAGAGATCAGATAATAATTATGTAACATATCATTTAGATAATAACCATCAACACTGCACGTGATAGCACCAATTTTTAAAAAACTCTGGACTACAGCCAAATGAGTTTGTGAGGGAAGACTGCGAGAAGTCCCATGCACGCTCCAGAGAGTGTTGCTGCGTTTGTTAAATATAAGCACCGCTACTCCCACGAACACAACACTACATGCAGTACCGAGTTAAGAACACCAAATTAGCGTCCTATCAGCCAAGTGCATACATACATGCAGCTATGTCGTTGTGTGGTGACCACAAGTATACTGTCATAGCCAATTCACATGAAAACAAACACACTGCTGCTGTAACCTGCATGCACACAAGGATCTAGAATTCAGTCTTGAGTGTTCTCGTTATCACCCACAGGCCGAGTAGTCCTACGAAAGACACGAGGCTTAAGGCTTCCTTACCTGCTCCTATAATCCTCCCATGGTACAGGCGAAATAAGAAGATCAAAGCGCAGATGGACAACCTCCCTCAGGAGCACAAAATGGACTGAGTGCCCCAGCAGGAAGGTGCCGAGGGTTGCCAACATCACTCACTGTAAGCTACAATGCTGCTCTCACCAGTGTAAATTGTTTAGTTTTGCCCTCTGGCAAGTGTTGATATTTCAAGAAGGTAGTCTAAATTAATATACAGCTGTATTCCAAATTATTCACAACCATGTGCCGATTAAACTTGCAATAATTATTATTCATACGCGATACGTATACACTAGATGAATCATTGTAACGTATGTTAGTCTGTTGCTGAGACAAAATAACCTTATATAAGACTAGCTTCTACTTATTTTCTGTCTTTCAGTTTATAATATATAACGTGTTCACTTGTACAAGAAATATATAATGTCATCATTCAAGGACAAGAAAACAATATTGTGAATGGTGTCAACCCTCACCCAGAATGACGTCATTAAAAGGACGGTGTCCGAACGGGTTTACTTTACCACAAACAATATTACAGGTTCATTAATCTGCTACGGTGTATATATTTTCTTGATCTTTATTAGCAGTTTGGTATATATAAAATGCAGAATAAAATCTATTTTGTAAAGCATTTATAACGTAATATATAATGAAGTAAGCATGTATTGTTTTGAAAATATTCGCGCAAGTCGCGGTGCCAATTTGAGTGATTCATCAGGAAGTGTGAGTACAATAAATTTCATTCAGCTTATACGTTGTGTAGGAGAGTTACGCACAAGTGCCACAACACTGGTGCTCTCGGAAAAGAGTTAACTATTTAAGTGGAGCTTATGAATATTGAAGGTCAATGAAATGCACTTAAATGCTTGCTGATGTACTGTAGTTATATTTACCTGAGGGGGGCCAGTATTTCCATTCCTTTCCCCCCCTGTCCCATCCCAAATCTTTATTCTGACCCCCTTGATTGATTCTTTCTTTGTTATGCACCCTATACCCATCCCGTGTGCGGTAGTGGAGACGGTTACAGAGGCACATAATCTAGCAAGTCCTCCAACCAAAAGCCCTAAGTCCATTTCATGCACTACCCAAACCCCCTTGCTTATGAATGAAAAACGGTTTACACACGACTCACAACTGATGACGTTCGAACACTTCCGGAACAAGTGCTTCACTGACGAATTTTGTTCGAACCACAACGTTGTAAATGCTTCACCCAAGTACTATGAATACAAATAATCGCCTACAGAACCTTAACACCTAACCTAACCTATGCCTATATATGCACAATATACTAATATCTTATAATATTTATTTTTATTTGAGAAAATTCCCGGTTTGAACGAACAGCATGTAAAAATTTAAGAATGCGTCTGTGGGGTCGACTGCTGGATGCAATGGAGTCGAGGACGGGTTGCACTGTACAAGGCAATTAACATCTATTGTGAGTCACGCGGTTACTATGCTAGCTCCGCACCCACCCAACTGGGCGGCAGCTATACAGCCATGTGCATGCATTACCTACGATAAGCAAATTTTGGATACTTCGCTAAGATTCCTGGCAGCACATCATTATGAATGAAGTACTTACACATTTCTTGGACTCCATTGATAGTGTTATCTCTCAATTCCGAGACTTTCACATTCTTCCAAGTGCTATATAGTCGTAATGGCTTGGCGTTTTCCCCACCCCCATAGTTCATTCATTCATTCTCTAGTGGCCTCGACGAGGACATGAAGCCGGCGGCTTGTCAAAGGTCTACCCATTTGTCCTGATGATTTTATCAAACTGGATTTTAAAATTCAGCAATTTTTGCATTTGAGGCTTCGACGGGTGGACGGTTCCATGGCTTCATAACACTGGGTGAAAAAGCATCTCCTATTTTCTGTCCTACATTGTGGCTTGTTGAGCATAAAACCGTTGTTCCTTGTTTGGTTTGACATACGTCTGACATATTGGTTTGTCATATGTGGTATACAAGGTTCTGATCCGTTACAGAAGTTTCTAAATAGTTCTTGTGTTAGTTAACCTAGCATATGCTACTGATGCTATCCTTTTGATGTGGGATTTGCAATGTTAAATGGGATTCTTGTAATGTTATTTGTCAATTTATACTCACTGAATTTGTGCGCCCCTTGAGGGACTTGAAGTAGAGGGGGGTAGAAATAGCCTAAGCTACTCTATCCCTTTGAGATGTATTTCTTTCTTATCTCAATAAACATACTTGAACTTGAACTTAATGTGGGATTCTGGGGACAGGTTTGGAGTAGTAAACCGCCCCCCCTTCCCCAGATGTACACGATTTTTGAAGGATTTCACCTCCCAGATGGTATCTTACGTTCGGCATCTTGCTCCCTTCACTTACTTTCATTACTTTGCACTTACTTGAGTTAAACTCTAGCAGTAATTTGTTGCACCATACCTTCAGTTTGTCCCGGTCGTCTTCTAGTCTCTTTCTATCTTCCTGTCTTTGTCTTTCTCATAATTTTAGCATCACCAGCAAACACTGAGATGAGTGAGTCTATATGCTCTAGAAGAACGTTTACATATACAGTATCAGAAACAAGTTAGGTCCAAGTATAAAGCCCCTTGGATACTCCACTGGGGACATCTTGCCACTCTGAAGTGGCGAGATGTTCCTCAAAGTAACTCGCTGTTTTCTGTTGCTTAGATACTCCTTTATCCACTGGAGCACCTTACCATTTACTCCTGCCTGTTTCTCCAACTTCTTTACCAGGCTCTTATGGGGTACTATTAAAGGTTTTCTGACTCCAAGAAAATGCAGTCTGTCCACCCTTCTTTTTCTTCCCTAATTTTTGTCGCCTGGCCATAGAATTCTATCTAGTAAAACCTGTGAGGCACGATTTAATATTCCTGAACCCAAGTTGGTGGTGTGTTACAAAGCTCCTTCTCTCCAGTTATTCTACGATCTTTTACCTTATACTCTAATGGGTGTTTGCAGCCTTCGATTTCTTTGTTTGTAGTTTTTTTTCTTTGTATCTTCGTTCCGAATGTTGTCGTTGATGTGAAGGAAAGTTTTGTGTGGTTGTAACCATTGCAGTGGATGAGGGTGGTTGTGTTTCTTGTTCTTTTTGTAGTGGCATGGTGTTGGCTTCAGGTTCTTGTGGATGTATGCTGATGTTGCATTCAAGCACTGATGAAGCGAGCTCGACTTCGGGCTTTTGTAAAAAAAATTTGTTTATATATACAAGAGTTTTTACATTTTTGTACAGCCACTAACACACACAACGTTTCGGGCAAGTCCTTAATCCTAATATTCCCCGGAATACGACCCGCCAAATCGTTTAACAACCAGGTACCCATTTTACTGTTGGGTAAACAGAGGCTACAGTTAAGGATTGATGCCCAGGAAATCCTCCTCGGCTAGGATACGAACCCAGGCCAAAACGCTCGCGAAACGCCAGGCAAGTGTCTTACCACTACGCCAAGGGGAAGAGGTTCGGGGTTGGCTTCCATCAGTAGTGGTGGTGCTTGAAAGGTGGGGCGTATCCGATCATCGTCGCCCCTAAATCAACAACTTGAATGTGTTTGGTGTTCCCAGAGATTCGTCTGGCACAAACGCAGGGAAAGAGCTGTAGCCACTAATAGTTTGTTGACATTATTGATGACGAGGCTGTGATCATTCTTAGCGACTCTATCTGCATACGCTATAATAATCTGAACGTGGATGTTTAAGAGGGATGTCGCAGGTATTCCGTTCGCGGTCCAGTTTGAGAGTACATACTATTGGTTGGGATCTGCACAAGCTGTAGTTTGTTATCGTTGGTTTGTTGTAGTTTGTCCCGGTAAGGCTGGGAATTGGGTTTGGTTGATATCGAAGGGGACAACAGCTTATTATTTCATGGTACTGGTTGGGTTAGCTTTGGCTTTGATTTTTGGAGTTGTTCTTATCTTCGTGAACATAGTTGTGACACCGAAATGTGGTCTTCACAGCGGGTGCATTTTCTGGTAGTATTGGAACAGTTTTTGTTGTAGTTGTAGCGAGTAAACCTTATACTCGCTCCAATATCTCATTATCTTAATGGCATAACTAATTAGCACTAATTACACAAGCTATAATCCTATCCCTATTTACAGGTAACATTCTTTCCATCCTGATGGAGGAAGCTGAGATGTAGTCACCAAATATAAGCAAGCGAATTGCGAATAGCCGACAGTACAATTTCCACAGGGATTCAGTGAACTACAATACAGACGCTTAGAACTTACCACATCTCTTCAAACCTCAAGAATGTAGCACTCAGCGTATACAGTTCTAGTCGACCCCAAGACGCTACAGCTTTACATAGAGCAGACAGCAGACTGCGACCGCATCAAGTTACAACGCTCTCTCTCCCCATCCAGTTCAGACACTCACGATTCCCCATTGAGCTGCCACGCTCTCCCGCATAGAGCTCCGCGACTCCGGCGGCCTCACACAGCTCTCTGCTCTGCTCCAAGCTCCGTCTGAACGTCTACGACAATGCCACCAACCGACAATTGTAATCAAGACGACTAAATAAATATGAAACTCACTAAACACTTCCCGAGCAGATGCTGCATCATACTTCCTGCTCGGTGCATTTGCTTGTGAAGTGATCGTACTTGAAACACCTGAAGCACTGTTTCTATGGGCAGCACAAAACGTTCACCAGACTATCTTCATATACAAGAAGATACATTGGGGTTAAGAAAGTACATAGCAATGATGATTTTACATTTTTTTAAAGCCATTAGCACGCATATCGTTTTGGGCAGAAACGCTATTACATTACAGATGGGTTCTCTTCATTGATGTGTCATACGATCTCCTCCTCAGCTTCTGTTGCTATCCACCAGTTCAGTATGTAGACGAATACTGTCCTTCCTACTTGGTACCTCTGTGGAGGTATTGGCGATACGTTCATCTCCTAGAGTGCGAACTTTGCTTTGTATGTTATTACTCACACAAAGCAAGGGGGCAAGAGTTTCAGGCTCGACATGCTCGGTGTAGGACAGCCAGCAGATGCTTTTTCACCCATATGGATTTGCCTACCCACCAAAACCGTAAATGTCAATTTAAAGTGGCAAGTTAGAATACAATTTGGGGAAAATCCTCAGGGATAATGGGAGAACACTTGACACACTATCGGCTTTCTGTTCCCGTCGTCGAGGCCTCTGTAGCAATGTTTAGCTGGAGAAATATTTTATATATAGTGCAAAACTTAAATTCTTCCCATTTGAAGATGGTTCTTGTACAATTGATAGTTTCAATAATTATTAATTTCGTATTGTTTCTAGTGCGAATCAAAGAGCTAGAAGAGGTGATCGCTGGTGGTCGGTTGTGAGCGGGAGAGCGCTGGAGCTGGGTCACTGCCGCAGTTGTCAACATTCTCACGTCAAATCCGAAGCCTGTGGCCAGGTCCCAGCCATAGTGATCTATGGTCACACCACACAAACTGTGAGTTAGGTCCCAGCCATAGTGATCTATGGTCACACCACACAAACTGTGAGTTAGGTCCCAGCCATAGTCAAATATGGTCACTGTGAGTTAGGTCCCAGCCATAGTGATCTATGGTCACACCACACAAACTGTGAGTTAGGTCCCAGCTATAGTGAAATATGGTCACTGTGAGTTATCAACTTAATTAACAAAATAATGAAAATAATGTGAAGCCCCCTTGCACGTTTGTGGCAGGTCTAACGTTAACTTTCAGGAGAGAGATGTTAGTTTCATTAATCAATTCCAGAAGTAAACAACATGATTTTTAAACTTCTAAGTTTTTACATTTTTTGCACACATTAAGCTATTGACTTATGCTACAAAATGTGGCACAGTGGTAAGTGCAATCGGGTCACAGTCAAGAGGACCCAGGATTGATTCCTATGGTAGGATTGAAGCATTTGTCCAAGTTTGCCTTTCACATGATGCATCTGTTCACTCAACAGTAAATATGTATCTGGGTTGGTCGGTAGTTGGCCTAGAGGGACGCCTCGATAAGCCTAACAGACTTCCTATACCCAACTAAGGGAAATAATAAAATTATTTAATTATTATAAAAAATATTATTATAAATTATAAAAAAATAAAATTTTAAGTTCAATTAAGGGATTGTTAGTGTTTAAAAATTACTATTTAAAATAATCAGAGAGTATTCATTCTGTTGTACAAAGCGGGATATTGAACAACTATACAGTACTTTTTTAGGCTAATTTGGGCCTCAATTTTATACATAGCCATTTTTCTTCAGAGTACAGTACAGTATTAGAAAATGAGCCGTGCAGAAAATGAAGCATATTGGGGGTCAACAGATACTGCACCCTCGGCCCTTGACAACTTTTTTGATGAAGACGTAAGTGACTTGAAATACGGTTCTAAAAAAATTTCTGCATTATTTTTTTAAGAATACTATAAGATTTGTTAAAATATTAGATAATATTGATGCAGTAATTTCTTGTATATATTATGGTTTGTAACCCTGAATCACCTTATTTCCAACTTCTCCAGTTTGCCTTTCTTTTCTGAATGTAGTCTTGCTTTTCTGAACATTGCCTTGCTTTTCTGGGCAAGTTAGCCCCCTGAGGTGAGTCACTCAACCTCTGTGTTGCCTCGAGATAATCCACTCGTGTGTCCATCTATTTATACGTGCTTATAATAATAATAATGCTGTCCTTCCTATCGGCATTTATTAATGGTTCATTTGCATGTTAAAACATATTAAGCCCTATCTATATAACAGTCGGTAATGGATTAATCAAATACTGTATTCAATAAATCCAAAGCTATTATTGATTGCTAATAATTCTGCTGTGTTATATTATGTACAGTATTGTGCTGTACTGGTATAAAATTTAAAATGCATTTGTTTAAAACATGGCTGGGTAAGCTTTTTTTTTTATGAATTTGGTTTTTATCCTCTGATCATTACATATACTGTACATATCTAAAATTTATAATTGGTAATTTGTACTACAGTATCTGAACTACAGTATTTAATAATTCACTGTTAAAAAATAATTAGCCTGCATATACCGCATTCATTTTGCTTTTATGAATTTAATGCGCTCCTTAGCATTTTGAACAATGCGATACTAAAGATAATTTAATTTTAATTCATTACCATGTACAGTACATGTATAATTATTGCATCTTGCACTTTCAGAGTGATGTTAATTGGACTGGTTATACAGAACACGACAACCACTCCTCTGCAGCGACTTCTCCCTGCGAGTCTGTTGATGCGGTCGTCCCCGGAGGGCAGCAGGCACCCACCAACTCCAGTATTACTGACAACATCACTCTACATACATCCACAGATTGGATTGTTGGTAATTATGTTAAAATACAGTACTGTACTATGGAGAAAACCAGAATTTTTAGATATGAAAATTATAGTACTTACTGTATTCTTTTAAAAGATAATTTGAGGTAGGCTAAAATACTGCACTGAATACAGTGCAAGAAAGAGAACCATATATCAGTGAGAGGAAAACATGCCTTTAAATTTTCTTGTCAAGGCCCCTGAACCTCTACAGGCTTAATTACAGTACAGTACAGTACTAGTTTTACAGTAGTACACTTTATTTTTCCAACATTTATATTACCTTTTAAATTTTAAACTAACTGATACTCATTTTATGCCAAAAATATAAAGTTTAATTTAGACTTATGTACACCTGCATAGTTCAGCCATTATGGTAGTGATTTTTATAAGCTGTTACGGAAATAGTTTGATTTTGAATTTGACAACTGTAATGATTTAAAAATCATTGATAAATGTACTTTCTAAATCTTGAGTATAAAATTTATAATTACCGATATTACATGTTATTACTGTACTGTATTATGACTTTCTCTTGCGTAAATAATTGACTAAATTTGTGTAAACTAACCTAACTATAAATGTACAAACATTTATGAATAATTGAAATTGAAATTTATTTGGAAAATGTGGCATTAAAATAGAATAATGTGGTTTGGGTGGACACTTTCTACCTGTACTAGCATATAAAAAATTTTAGAAGCTATAGAAATGTGAAATTATCTTTCTGATGACTGAGAGATTCTGCAACTGAACTTAAAAATTTCACATAGATTTAAAGTGACTATTCTTTATGAAACTTTAAGAATTTTGTTGGTACTGTATTTTTCTTCTGAAAAAAGTTCTAATGTGCAAGAATGTGTTTTGTTTCTGGAAATAATGAAGATAAAACTACAGAGAACCTGAACACTGTATTTATAATATTCCATTATCACTGTCTTCCATGCATTAAAGATATGTATCTGAAAATTAATATAGTGTTTATTTGATCTTTCTTGGTGTGAAGTAGATACGGGAAGTACAATAAATAGCAGCGAGAGGCTGGCCAAAGGTGTAGGGAAAGCGATTGGTGAAAAATTAGATTCTTGGAAGCCCCCTTCGGTATCCATCAAGTGGAACACGTCACAAGGTATTGGTGTTTTTTATATTTTGCTTCTTGTGTATACAGTATTAAGTATTTTATATGTGAAGGCAAAGTATCATTCATACACAGTAGACTTTTAGTTCTACAAGTAAGTGCATTCTTTGAATCTTAATGTAAAACTGGCCTGCATAGTACAGTATTTTTTTTATGGCTTTTGGAAAATTAGGAATATTTGCAGTTTTAAGATTACTACAAAAGAACACAATTTATTCTATTGTAAATATCTTAAGGTAAAGTTTTAAACTGTGCTTTGGGAAGACTAGGAACAAGATTAAAAACTCAGTGCACTATCTAGACTGTTAGTAGATATCTATGATTTGAGGGATAAGATTTAGTCACTGTTGAATAAGTGAAATAAGTTCTATATCTTTTAATATTGTTATGTTATTCTAATTATATTTTAAGATTTTTTGTTATGTAATTTGAGAAAGTGGACAACTATGAACAAGCTCTTCCAAAGTTTCCATTATTTCAACTTTCTACATCTCTGGCTCGGTGGAACTTGAAATATTTCTATTTAAAACCCAAGAACCATGCTTTTGAAATGGACCTGGTTCTCTTGGAGTGAAGGACTGTGTTTGCTTTCTGGTTGCAGAATTAGGTTCCCAATTCCTCTTTGGTGGTGAGCAGTACCTAGTTTATTTGAGGAAATGAGGAACTCCTCAATCAGTATCTTTGTTTACACTTATTAAACAGTTTGAGCTCCAAAGCATTATGAGCTTGTGTATAACAACAATAACATTGTATTTGAATTTTAAAGCTTGTAAACTGTCTAATAATAGTTAACAAAGTCACCATGATGAGGGAAGGATGCACAGGTTTTGTAAGTGGTTGTGTAAATGCTTGATGAATCCTGGCCTCTGTCTTGTCCACTGCCATTGCAGTAGCTAATACTTTGGTCAAGTTGTTTGCACCAATCTTGTGGGGGTTAGTAATGGAATTCATTTACACACACCTTGCTTTTAGAAATAACTTATTTTCAGGATAGTTTCACGTCTGTCTTGGAGTAGAGCATTTTCCTCTTTCCACCCCATTTCTTGGCCCTTCTGATGGTAGACAAAACCACACAAGGTGCTGTCTTCAATCTATTCAGACTTATTCAGGCTTAAGGCTGAGGCTTCTATTCCTTCACAAAGGGTAGTTGTTCATGGGTCTGTCTTGTGGTCTTCAGTTCAAGAAAAGGGTTCTGGTGGCAAAGTTCCTTCCCTAGGGGGGCTGGTCTTTGAACATCATCTACAGGTGGTCAGATACAGTACTGTTCATTTCGGGAAAGTCGTGTGTCTGTTTTTTCCTGCACCTTTTCAGAGTAAGTTTCAGTAACTGTGTGGTAAGAGAACATCTGAAGGACTTTTGCTAAGCTTGGGCCAGGGATACCTTGGCCTCGCTTGTACTTTATTGTCAAAACGTCATATTTGGGGTTGGTCCATATGGCCCTCAGGAATTCTGTTGGTCTCTGGTAGCCATCCTCTCCATTTCATCATGCTAACATCCAGAATATACTAAAAAGGAGTGGTTTGTGGAATTCATTTTCGTCAGCTGCAGTTCCATTCTTTCCTACAGTGAAGGGTTCTACCAAGAATAGGTTAATTCTCGATGTGTTAGGGTTCGACACACATTACTTCCTCTTAAGTTTCCAATTTCTACCATGTTCTTGGTGCATCAAATTTTTACTCTGTCCTTGAATCATCAAATCCCCCCCTCCATTCTTCTTGTTTCTCTCCCTGGATCTACAGTCTGTATATTTCCACGTAGCAATTTATCTGGAGTGGAGAGATTTCCTCTGGTTTCCTATTGAGAATGTAAGTTAACCTGTTCTTGGGTCTTTCACCAAGCTAACAAGTTTTGTGCTTTTGTGAGTCTCGGCTCAGGGTGTGCAGATTTTGGGTTTATTAGGCATAGTGCCTGTTTATCAGGAATTGCTTGTTGACAATGCTGGATTCTTTTAGTTTTCTAGTCATTTGATTAACTTGACAGGTCTCGTCGTTGCAGAGCCGTTATTGAGCCCCACTGAATATTGACAATGTACAGTAATAAGATTTTTGGGGGGCCCATTAAAGCATGAGCATTTCTAGTCTATGACTTCAGATTTACTTTCATATATGAAACTTGCATACTGGATATTTATATTTTGTACCTGTATCTGTTTCTAGGACAAGGCAGTGGTTCTTGTGTTCAGTGTGCTGCTAAAGATAACGAAATCTCTCAGTTAAAAAAACGACTAGAAGTAAGTTTTCATTTACAGACCTCTTTTTAAAAAAATTATGAAATGTAATTGCTCTATTATAATAATTCAGGCCATTGAGGTTATCGTTATAATAATAGGCCATTGTTCTTAAATAGTCGAAGAGCTGGTATTGGGTCTCAAAATCCTAGGATTGAGGTACAGTTTGGTGGCACTAAGAGGAAACTTGCTATATTTTTGGGTGAAAAGTTTGGGCTCATTTTGAAAAGTAAGCAAAGATACTGTATCCCATGAATATAAGTTTCTCGGCTTATTCATACTCGGTCATGTATAATGTGTGTGTAAATATTTTGTGTAATATTAAAATACTATACTGTACAGTATATACAAAAGAATTTTTTAGTTTTTTGTATATGCAGTATTTGCTTATGTATTGGGAATTTATTAGCAATGGCATCTTTGTATATACAGTAATAGATATGGGATTGGTTGATGTTTTCAAGTGTAGTTACATGTATGAAGAATTTGGGGGATATAAGTAGGAGCTGCCTTGTATGGACCATATGTCTTCTGCAATTTCCTTAATTCTTATGTTCATGTTTTCCATTGTATAGATATTTTCTCTTTAATTTCAAAAGATTTGTAAATTTTATCTTTTCAGAATTCTTATTCTCGATACAACCTTACATTACCACCAGATGATACAGTCAACCGAATTCTCCTAGGTCAGCCATACTCTCTAGAATGTTATCGTAGCCATGAAGATAAACTTGCTTTGTTAGATGCTGCCCTAAATATTATGGATGGAAGTGCAATATTAGCAACATTGCTTCATATGAAGATCACTGTTAAAAAAAGTCTGTTCATTAAGGTGAGCATTGTATTTATGGATCTGTCAGTGTAATGCAACCTGGTCTCATATGGTAGTTAGTTTTGTGCCGTGTTTTAAAAAAGCTGCAAGTCTTTTACATTTTGATATTAGATTTCCATTAGTTTCTCCATGTTCTTTTTTGTATGATTAGACCATGGGATCCTTCGATTGGAGTTCTATCCTACCAGGGACCACGAGCCAGAATCTGGCCTCCTCAGAGAGGCATGAGGAGCAATGGCCTATAGAAACCCCCATGTGGTTGGAAGCAATCTATGTCTGCCATCTACCGGGTTAGGCACCCAGAAAGGTAGGCATCTCAAAACAAACTCCACCTGGTTAAAATTGCTACCAAAAACTGAACTATCAAGCTGCCATGTACATATACTATATATATAAATATTTTGTACAATATTAATATACTGAACTGTGTATACAAAAGTATTTTTTGTGAAAATATATATACTGTATATATATATATATATATAGCAAGAAGTCAGTCAATCTTACTTCTGGTGTGTCGTTCTCGGTGGCTTGGGCGTTGGCCATACTGTTCAAGCTGGAAAGTATGGCCAGTATGGAAAACCCCCAACCACAAGGGAGTTTTTCCAGAGCCATTGCTCCCTGCTCCTCTCTGAGGGGGGTCCAGGTTCTGGCTCGTGGTCCCTGGTAGGCTGAACTCTAGCGACTAATGACCCAGTCTAATGTATCACATATTAACCCGATAGCTACAGGGAGCCTCCGGGGCTCACCCACAAAATTGCGTTTTATTAATTTCAATGCTGTTCTTTAATATGTAATATGATTGGTTAGGTATCGATAGAAAATATAAATAAATTGGAACAGAAACAGGTTATACATAAAATTTTTGCAAAAAATGTTGATAAATAATTTGTGCTTGACTGTTATTTTTTTATCAGGAAATGCAAGTAAGGCCATCTGCATCTCAGCTGTATGTCAATTACCTAAAGAAGCGTCGCAACTACGCAGAAGCCATAGATTTTCTAGGGTAATTTTATATATTGTTTTATCTTCAATACAGTAGACAGTAGTATGTTTTGAAAGAGCAAAGTGATTATATATAGTATCTGTTTTGTATGATTTTCCAGTTCCTCAAGTGTTAACACTTTCTCTGGCATGTTTAATAATTGATAGTCTTTGTCTCGCTCGCTCGCTCGCACATGTGGGGTCTACAGCTTGATACCGATACAGCCCCGGTGAATGGAATGGAATCAGTAGTGTTGTCAGGGTTTTGGGCTACGGCAGCTTCTTGAGCTCTAGCAATGTCATCTAGCCGAGCTATGGAATTTGTATGACTAATACTGTACTATAATTTACAAATGATTATATTTCTGTTATACGGCTACTGGAAATTGTTTTTTGCCAGAACTATATACGTTACTGAAAAACCTCATGGAGATCTAATTCATGCAAAGCAACATTACTTCTATAGTATCGGAAAATTTTTATATGCCAGAGGACTCAAAAGTCAGGCTGCGAGCAGCCGCGTCCAACAGCCTGGTTGACCTGTCCAGCAACCAGGAGGCCTGGTCGACGACTGGGCCGCGGGGTCACTGAGCCCTGAAATCACCTCAAGGTAGCCTCAAGGTAAGGAGGCCTCAAAAAATCTTTTTCCACATTTCTGTAAAAATAAAGCATGTTCCAATGTATCCTATATTACATATCCCGCCAAACACTCGACGAAACTACGACGTTGCTACAGCGTTCAAAGTTGTAACACCTTCTAACAACTTATAACAACCAATATAACAAATTGTAACAACTTTCTAACATTTCATAAAAGCTTTATAAGATGATGTAACAACTTTGTTACAAGTTATAACAAGATAAAAAGGGAACCATTACATTGTGTGTTTGCACTGATAGTATAAAATATTATAACACTTGCCAATTTTATAGATCCTCTTTGCCTGCTGGGATTGATTGAATATGATTAAAGATGGAATTAATTGCTGTTGTGGTTGGTGGCAGGTCATCAGGATCAGACTTGGCCACCAAAAAGGGACTAGCAGGTTTCTTCCTGGGAGCATTATGGAGTTTGCCAGGAGATGCTGGATGTTTGGAAGGAGCCATGATGTATGAATGGAATCTAAAAGTACATCAAACAATATATTTTTGAGGAGTTACAAGGTCATACTGTGGTATTAGTGCCAAGATATCTCATTTGATAGTTCATAGCCAGCTTTTATGCTGTTTACTTTGCAATTAATGCAAGTTTTATTATTCCAGATTGCTTGGCAAATCTGAGGATGCAGCAGTAAGTATAATTTTAACAAGTTATCTACAGTATTTTGATAATTCCAGGTCGTATTCCAGGGAACATAGGATTAAGGACTTGCCCGAAACGCTACGCGTACTAGTGGCTGTACAAGAAAGTAATAACTCTTGTATATATCGATAAAAAAAAAATGGCCATTCAGTACTTAATTTACACTGGCTGTTATTTACTGTTAATCCACAAATGATTCTTGGTTCGTGGGAATGACGGCAGTTTTAATTCGCGTGGCATTACTTGGAGCCAAGTTCTTCAGAACACATTGTCTACGATGACTGGGATATTTGCACACATCTGTCACTGGCATATAACCTCCTTAGAATGTTGTTGGGATGCTCATGGCTCATGCCAGCTGGATGCTTCAGCATCAAAGATCCTCTGTTTGAATTGATGATTAAGAGGGTAGCATCTTCATAGCCTTTTCTCTAATTGATTCCTTCCCATAGTTTTATGACATCACCAGGGGTGAGTTCACTAGGATTACAGCTTGAGCTCTCAATACACATGTCAGATTCGATCTAATTATATGATCATAATGGCTTAGTGCTTTCTCCTTATACTGTAATTACTTTTCCTTACCTAATTACCTTTTCACCTCATTAATTTCCCTGTTACTCCAGCCAAGATGATTGTGTCATATATGAGTTATCTCCAAGCTAAATAAGGTTTTCTTTATCTTATAACACAACCTGGTATGTTGGCCATCGTATAATATCTAGATTCTAGGTGATGGTAACTATTCAAGGACCCACGCACTTGACTGGAGTCCTGCCTGAATTCACACTTTAGTTGCCCTGTGCGCATCATGTTGCACTGTCTATACATCATGTCTTCATCTGGAGTGTACAAATAACTGAGCAATCTCCCCAACTCTCAAATCTAGAAAATTTGCCCAGATGCAGTAATATTCCATCAGGTCTTGTAGCCTTTAAAACTTGAGCCTGGACTCGGAATGTTCTGCCATTTGATGGTGACAGAATCAAACATGGCTCCAAATCAGTGCAATGAGTTCTTCCAAGAATGCCTCCCACACATCTCCAAAACTTGTACCTTGCACCTATTTTGAGAATTTTTAGAAATAATTAAGGTATATTTTGTATGTTGTGACGTATAAGTGCTGAACTGTGCTGTATGTATGATATTAAAATGGACAGTAGATACTGTACAGTGGTACCTCTGTTTCCAAATTTAATCCCTGAGAAGGTTTGACAACTGAAAATTCGAAAGCCAAAACGAAGTTTCCCGTAAGAAATAATGTAAATTGAATTACTCCGTTCCGCAACCCCCATAAATATTAACTTAAAAATATATTTTATACATATTACTACTCGTACATACTGTAGTACAAAATATAAGTACAGTATATGTTATTTTTATTGAGGACTCTTGCTGGTGTATGAAAGTAAAGAGAAGGGGGAGAAGGAGAGGTGTTAGTATTTGGAAGGGGAGTCCTTTGCCATTATAACTTCAGGCAGTGATGACATTTCTGGGGTACACTCTCTCCTATGTTTTGCAGGCATACTACTAGGACTTGGTTGTGGCTCACTACTTGCTTGTCTTACTAAGAATCTGTCTAAAGACACTTGTTTTTCCCCACATTTTAACACTTGTCTGTTGTTTGAGTTTTGTTTTGAAATTAGAACTAGAAATTCCATATCATAAAAGATGGAATATGAAGATCTTGCCAAGTGATAGAAAACAGAACAAGGATGTTGAAAACATAAAATGAGGGAAATAAATGGCAAGTATTTTTATACAGTGAGAGTTGTAAGCAAATGGAACAATGTTCATTCATAAGTAGTGGAAGCTGCCCCCATTCACAACTTCAAGAGCAAGTCTAACAGAGTATTGAAACATCAAGAGGTATAAATACATCAAATACAATAGTATTGAGGTGGGGTGCTAAAGCTAGATCTCGCATGCCATAAATTCATCTGCTGTAGGTAAAAAACAAGGTAAGCATTATTCAATGGTTTGAAATTTTTCACGATGTTCATGTCTTGTATTATATGATAAATTGAGAAAGTATGATTTTGCATTGTATAGTGTTTCATTGATGTAGGGTCTAAACAACAACTGAATATTACAGATTCTATCTTATGAATTGGCTCTCTCAAGCAAATCACCAGAAGTCAAGATGAAAAATATGAAAAAGGCTCTTGACAACAGCTTCACAGATCCTAGTCTCTCATATGAGGCAAAAATTGTGATGGATAACATAAAACTACTAGGTTTGTAAGAGTGCTTTTAGTTTCACATGGTCATGTAGTAAACGTTACTTTAAGATATATTGTAGGAAAATATAAGTTTATTCTTGTGCTTTATAAGGTTAAAGTATTTAGTTTAATCTGTCTTCACTTTGCATATTTGATGCATTTAAGGAATGCCTATATGAGAAAAAAATTCAATTCAAGTTTCCTAAAGTTCAATTTTTTTTAGTCAATAAAATGCTGATCTGTTCATTGTTATTAAGAGGAGTAAAAGTCATAGGAATGTGTATAAAACAAATTAAAAATCTTAACCCAAACATTGTTCAAGAGAAACGGAATAGTTTCAGTCAATCCTAAAACAACATACTGTAGTTTTGGCTTGGTGGTGGTCCCATAACTTCTCAACCAAAATTATACTGTTTAAAACAGGTTTGAAATGCTAATCAATGCTGAGCAAACCATAACTTGCACATAGCAAATTTTGATGTTGAATTCCCTACCTTCTGTAAAGTGAATGTTGTACATACCAGACTCTCACATTGTGGCATCTATTCGTTTACCCAAGGTGGTGACCAGTTGGTCTTGATTAGTAATTGAAGGCTTTTATGGTGGAAGTAAAAAGAATTCCTTTTCTCCCTGCACGAGAAGTAAAAGGGGATACCTCTTCCTTTTGGAGATGTAAAAGAAATATCTTTTCTCTTTTGGGGGGAATTAAAATGGATATCTCTTCTTCCCATGGATAAAATAAAAAGATACGTCTTCCTATTTGGGGTTAGTTAATAAGATAATTTTTCCTGGTGAAAAATAGAAGGAAAATATTTCTTTGTCATAGTTCTTTAATGCCATTCCACATAATTTATAGGTTGTGTGGGGTCTATTTTCTCCTCCTGTATTCCACATTCCATAACATGGCATTTATTCATGTTGAACTCCATTTGAAATACAATTGATGCTTTATTGCATATCAGTTTTATGATTTAAATAAACTAACTTGGGTAATTTTTCTTTTTTTATTAGAAAGACAGATGGCCATAGATCAAGCAGATTGTAATGATCAGACAAATCCCATGCTTGTCAAATATCCACGTGCTGCCAACATCGTTGACAAGTCTCTTCTAACAACTCTCTTTTACTGCTGCATGTATCATTGGGATGTTTCCGAGTCACATGCTGGAAGTCCGATGGCCTTGAGAAAAGCTCACAGCTTCACGGATGGTCAAGTCTTGTGGACAGTCTTACGAGGGCGAGCACGGGTTAACCACTGGCCTTTGCCTAATGAATTGGATTCTTGGCTAGGGAGTAAGGTAAGCTAAATAATGTTGTAAGGACAATATAAAGATCCTCATTATACAGCATATATATTTTTATTTTGTTCTTTTTTACTTTTGCATACAGATTTCATCCTTTTGAATATACTACTTCATATGAAAAGAAAAATACTGTATAATTTTCCACCCTTAGAAGATAAATATCTTTATTATTTATGGTAACTGAACATGAGTGTGATGCTTATAGTGAATGAACCCCTTTTACCACAAATGGAATCCTTTATGTTCATGCTGGAAGTTTGTCAGATGAAGTGCTCTTTAGATAAGAATGCAGTAATATTGATATGCACCATATTAAATTGCATTTTGCTTTAATCATGTGTGTGTTTCAGGGCTTACTAGGAGCACTTGGGTCCTTAACTTCTGCATTCAGTGGTGCCGGCAAAGTGATCAGTTCTGGCATCAAGGCAGCTCTACCAATGGAGCAGGTGGTGCACACACTGTCAGCAAGTGGAGCTCCAGCAAATGTAATTCTTTTCTGTATAACATCCCTATTTTTCTGGTAAATATTTAGACATTGCTTTTATTTATTATATATTATACCATGTTAATAGATACCCAGTGCAGTTTATATTCTAAATAGCCACTTGGTAACTATTATTTTGCAGTATTCATCTGCATTGTATTTGCTTAAATATTTCACACACAGTTAAAAACAAATAAATAATAATAATATTAATGGTAATTTTAATAAAAAAATTAATTTCATCTTTGAGGTTTAGCTGTTGCTGTCATTGAAAATCAGGCTTTCAGTGGTGAACCAGTTGATATTAGTGTGTAACTCTCTTTATCTTCCATTATAATGAAGGTACTAGCAGTCTACATATCTTTGATAGACTCCATGGACACTCGCATTAAGTTGGCTGTGAACTACAAATGTCACCAAGCAGTTATTGATGTAAGTATTATGCAATTTTTTTTACAAGGTACATATTTCACTTGAATAAAGTGAGTAATAGACTTGTAGTCCTGTAGTGCAGTGGTCTATGTTTTTGGCTCTCAACCGAAAATTCACAATTCTCTTTCACCTGATGCCTTTATTTATCTAGCAGTAAATAGGTACCTGGGAGTTAGGCAACTGCTGTTAGTTACATTCTAGGCAAGGTCTCTAGTTGACTTACAGGAGTCCTCAAAGTACCTCACAAGCTTTTTGTCCCCGACTATGACAAACCAAACCACAAGTTGAACATATGTAAACAAAATTGTACAGTGGACCCTTATGTCACGTACATTTATTCAGTTAATTTTTGTCATATAGTGACCCAAACATTTTTAATGCGACTATTATATAACGCACACTAATGACATTCTCACATGTCTACTTGAACAAACAGTGCCAGGGACTTGGCTCCCTCAGTCCAGTGTGTGTGTATAAATGAATAAATGAATGAGTAGGCAAGTTTGGGTGGAAATAAGTGTAGTGTGTTCATGTGTACACATGCATTTGTTTCTACAGGATTGAGCTTCGGCTCCACATGCACCAACCTACCTACTCGTACATCTTTATACAGTATAGATAAAGGTGCAGTGTACAATACCTGTAATGTGCAGCTTTCTTGTGACCGAGAACCTTAACTCTCTTTTTGCCTTGTGTTATACAGTACAGTTTATAGTGTGTGTTTATACAATATACTATATTCAAGGAACGTAGCTACAGCATTATATAAGGGTCCACTGATGTACAGGACCAGCATTTATTTGTTTATTTGTTACATGAAATGTTTTAATTTAATTTCCAATGAATTTGTATTTTATCTGAATATATTTTAGGTTCACATTGCTCAAAAGGACAGGGATGCCCTCGAAAAATATATGAAGGAAATACCGGCAGGCTCTCCCGAGTATCTGAAGGCTGAGAGTGCATTAAAGGTATGTCAGCACAGAACATTGTGCATGAGTGATGGAAGCTTGCACAAAAATCATGTATTTAAGAGATATTGTTAATTTAGAGAGGTATAATTAGTTAATAACAGTACAAACATAAGAGTGCTCAAGAGATGTTCAGGGCAATTAATATTTTTACATTTATTAAAAGCCACACACAGGTTTTACAGTTTAGAATACTTGAAGTTAAAATATTACTCTAGTTGATGATGTGTCTGTAATCCTGAGTTACAACATGGGTTGTGAGAGAAATTTGTCAAGAGGAGGAGATTGAAAAATTATACACTTCAACAATTTGGGGAAAGTGGTTTTCTGTCAAAAACTTACAATTGAATATGTTTGGAACTGCCTGTACAGTACAGTATTTAGTAAACATAAATAATACAAATTCAGAAGTACTTTGAAAGCTACTATATATATATATTGTAATGCGAAACTAATGTTTAATTTTGCGGTTTTCATGTCAACCTGTGCTTTTTCTTTCAGAATGTCAAGTGGAAAAACTAAATCAGGCTGTTACTACACATTCCAGGAACAACATTTGATCATTCTAGATGTTCAGATGTATAAAACATTTAAGGACATGGAGGATAGACAGACGGACGGACACACACACACGCACTCACGCATGCACACACGCACGCGCACTAGGGGGCCTGGAAGCCTAGTGGATAGCGTGCAGGACTCGTAATTCTGTGGCGCGGGTTCGATTCCCGCACCAGGCAGAAACAATTGGCAAAGTTTCTTTCACCCTGAATGCCCCTGTTACCTAGCAGTAAATAGGTACCTTGGAGTTAGTCAGCTGTCACGGGCTGCTTCCTAGGTGTGTGTGTGGTGTGGAGAGAAAAAAAAGAAAAGTAGTTAGTAAACAGTTGATTGACAGTTGAGAGGCGGGCCGAAAGAGCAAAGCTCAACCCCCGCAAACACAACTAGGTGAATACACACACACACACACACACCCCGCAACCCCCTCCCACCCCCTGCCCAGCCCCCCGCCCCCCCCCCCCCCCCCCCCCCGCCCCGGCCACCCCTCCCACCGCCACCCCCCCCCCCCCACGCGCACACACCCCACACACACTCACACACAAAAGAGAGGTGTTAAATTTGCCAAAGTTGAAGGATAGAAGAAGAAAGGGAGATATGATCACTAAGTACAAAATAGTAACAGGAATTGACAAAATTGACAAAGGAACTCTTGAAAACTGCAATGTCAAGAACAAGAGGACGTAGATTCAAGCTAAGTAAGCAGAGATACCAAAAAATATTATAGTTCTCTTTTGCAAACAGGGTGGTAGACAGTTGGAACAATTTAAGTGATAAGGTGATGAATGCCAAACTATTAGTAGTTTCAAAGCATTATATGATAGAGTACTGGGAAGATGGGGATGGGGGGGGCACACTATGAATGTAGGTCTCATCCTGTAACTACAATTACCGGTAGGTAGTTACACAAATACCTACACCCTTCCACCCTCTATCTACATCTACTTACCTTGTGTGTGTATATGTATGAACAGTATGTGTGTGTGTGTGTGTGTGTGTATGTATGTATGTATGTATGTGTATATATATATACTGTATATATATATATATATATATATATATATATATATATATATATATATATATATATATATATATATATATATATATATATATATATATATATATATATACAGTATATATAATATATATATTATAATCCTATTATAATATATGTAACTGGAGGATTATAATCCTCTAGTTACCCAGTCCTGCAATTATCATCATCAATAAAACCTTGCCAACTCTCCTCTAAGTACATTATCCTATAATAATAGTGATTATGAGAGTTTAATGCTACTGCTTGAGTAATAAATGAGCTTAAACAAAATACAAATTTGATCATTCATGCTTGCTTGAAAAAATAGAACACTGTATTGTATTTAAATTTTTGAGTAATTAAATATTGTGCTAGTTAGTAATCTCATAAATTGTGATAAGACCTCACATAATCAAAGTGTTAAGCTGCCTTATCATAGAGAATCAATCATTTCCCTCTTCTTTCATCCACGTAGAGAACTTGGATAAGATTACGATGTGATATACCTGTTTTTTTATCATCACGACTTGTCTGCCAATAATACAAACACTTTTTTTTATTACATTTTGTTAGTTTCAAATTTTGTGTTATGAAGTTTTAATAAATTCATGTGTACTGTATTTCTATTTATATTGTTTTGTTTTATATAGCGTGTATTGTATATACTGTACAGAATAATGTACTTCTGTCTTGTCAGAATTTTTTAGACATGTGGAGACCAAAAATGTTAATATAGTATCAAAATGTGAGTTCTTATATTTAGAGAGAAAAATAAATTATATGACTTCCAAATATTTATATTTTATATGCAGCATATTTACATGTGCATTATAACAGAATACAGTATCAAATAAATTTATGACCATAGACTATTATACTGTAATAGTGTTTTATAATGACAGTGTAAGTTCTTTTCCTAGGTTAAAAGGATTCTGAAAATAAAAAGATATATCATGAATGGTAAGGTAAAGAACAATATATTGGTATACTTTGTTAAAAACAGGAAGGCCTAAATTGGCTTGTCCAGGTACCTAGAATATAGTAGGGCTGTCTGTATGTTCTTCCATCCACCGACCAGACCCAGTCGTGCCGATCTAAATGCACACCATCCTTTGGTGTATATTTAGAGCTTTGTGTTGGAACAGCTTTATCATCTGTACTTTTAGGGTTATGATCATTAACCCATTTATTGCCAAAAGATTGTCAGATCTACACCATTGTTCACATATAAAAATGTAATGATTTTTTTCTTTATAAGAGTTGAAAATTCGTGTGAACGGTAAACAATTTCCCATGCTATAATATTGGTCTGGAGTCATTCACACTTGTGCTCGGAAGTACTGTAGTTTTTGGCAACTGCTGGCCACCTGCAATTGGGTGGACATTACAATTATATTACTTATGAGAATGATCAACTTGTGCAACAGTTAAATTTATTTAGAAAATATATTTCATTGTCTAATTTACAATGAAATAGGTAATGTAATTTGTTTACAGGTAGTAATTGTTAATTAAAATATCAAAATAGGCTTCCAGCACAATCCCCCATCCCTATAACACAAGGGATACTAGACTGATTGTGCTCCACATTCTTGCAGGTAGATTAATCACCCCCATCCCTGCAATAACATTATTTCAAATTAAAATATACCACCATTTGGAACATTGCAAATAGAAAATTTGTTTTCTATCCATCATATTCCCTATACCTAAGCCAAACTCAAAAATTTAGGCAAAAATCTTCAACTTCTTGCTTGTGCAAGATTCATGAAAGAACTGTTCTTAGCAGGCAAACACTACATATCCAAAGCTGACTTGCTCCTAACTTGCATGGCCTCCCTGGATAGACAAACTTGCTTAGCTGAGTACTTTATCAGACTGGTGCAAAGGATTCATGTAACATTTCTTGATCTCCACGCTGCTTCTGACATGGCTAACAAGGAACTTATCTTGGACCAACTAGCCTTTATTTGAGTCAGATTTATTGACATTTTTTTTAGAGGTATTTAAGTAATAGAACTATATCAGTCATTTATAAATTGAATTAAAAGTAATTTTAATTCTTTAAATTTTACAGACCTCTGGGAGAAGAGTTCTTAGGCTAATTCTTTTAATGTGTTGATGTATAGATTGATAGCTGACATACCTACAAAAGCTCATAAGGCTGTCATCTGCATCAATGCAAGCAGTGATAACCTTCAGCTCTCCTTGACATGTGAGTATCAAGTAGAATGACTATACAAGAAGGAAGACAGACAGGAACCACTCAACTAGAGGCTAGAGTCCCTAACTTGCATACCATGCAAGGTGGAGAAGATTGTGCAAAAAAAAAAGTAGTGGAATATATGGAGCAAAATAACTTTGTAACACATCACCAGTATGGGTTCAGTGATGGCAAATCTTGCCTCACAGGATTAATTTAATTCTATGACCTGGAAAGGAGGAGGGTGGTCAGACTTCAAATTTTTGAATTGCCAGAAAGCCTTTGATACAGTACCCAATAGCAGACTAGTGGAGATGC